TGAACCCGGCTCGGCGAGGCCGGCTGAACACTAGGCAAACACCCTACCCGCTGTGCTATCAGCATATATAAAGACTTCAATTATGTTTATTTTTCTTAACTTGAGGCTTCATTTTAATTCATTAATCCTATGAGAAGTATCACAGGTATACAATAAGGGTTACATAAGGATGTTCAATGAAATTTGTATTACAACAGTGAATATCAGGAATCATCTTGAGGACAAATAAAGGACTGGTCAAATGGTTAAAAAATTATAAATCTTAATGTAATAATAGTACCTATATAAGTTTTACTATTTTCACTGTTCTAACTTTTTGCACACTCTGATATAATCCACTTGTGAAATTTGTTTAGTAGATAATATTAGTGCCCCTTTAATAAATGAGCAGACTGAGGAAGTGGGAGAAAACAGTAAGTAACTTGACCAAAGTAAATGGTTAGTAAGTGATATAGCTTGATACTAAAGTCTGGTTCTGGATTTTAAGCACATCTAAGTGATAAAGTATCATGCAGTGACCTGAAAAAAAGTTAAAGGACAATTAATAATACAAAAAAAGTGGTATGTGAAAAACACAAGGCAAAAAACTCACACGTTTCAAATTCTGTTTTGGAAAAGTATATACATGTGTGCATTAAAAAAGGCAGGATGGGAAAATGATAAAATAATAATCTTTGAGTGGTGAGATTTTATATCACTCAAGTTTTCTTCATTATATTTTACCAGTATTGATATATTCCAGTAATAAACTTGTATTTGTATTATAAGGAAGGGGAAAGTACATTCTAATTTTATTAAAAGAATAAATGGTTTATAAAATTGTCAAACCGCTTAGCACTTCTTTCTTCCATAGATAATGGAGCATTTTTAGTGCTTCAATAAAAAAAGAAATTCTGCTTTCATTTATGTATTCTTTATGATGTCCCTCCCCTTATCAAAGGAAAAAAATAAAACAGAATTTTCACACTAAAAAACAAGAACAAGATCAAAGTTTTGCAAAAAGAATATAACTTCTATTTTGATGAATGAAAATTTTCTATGACACACAGCAGAAACTGAAGATTAGAACCCAAGGTGTTTTAGAGAGCCCACTTACTCTGCATTTATATTTATTATTTTCTAGTTTTAAGGCCACAATGGCTGTGCTTAAATTTTACTCCTGACTGTGCTTAGAGATCACTGCTGGTACGGCTTGGAGAGGCCATACAGGGTGCCAAGGATCACACACAGGCCAGGTATGCATAGGGCAAGAGCCCGACCCCTTGTATTTTCTCTCCAGCCCTAAGGATTCTTCTAAACAAATGGTTATTTTGAGAAATTTTTAAAATTCTTTGATAAAAATATTATTCAAAATGTTTAATTTCAAAATTTATACATCACTGTCATTTGAACATATGAACATGAAAAATAAAGAACTTTTTAAAAAAAGAATCCATCAACATTTTTCCTATTAGACTCTAAAAGAAACATAGTTCACTTTTTAAGATTATGATTAATGATTATGCCTGCTGAATACAGAAGTTAAAAATACTTTTTTTCCTGGTGAATAAGCTACGAATAATATTCTTTTTTTTAAAAGAATTTATTCGTAACAAATTTTTACATATCTAATTTGCCTACTTGGTAATCTTGACATACTAATCAAGATCAACCAAGAAAGAGTTTCTCAGCTTGCTCTTCAAACCAGTGTTCTCCCTTGAACACTATCTCACTTGCTTTTCTCTGTTTCTTTGCTTATTTCCATTCTGGAGAAGCCTGTGTTCTCTCTTGAATACGTCCTTCTCTCTTTCCACTCACATCTTTCTAAAGAAATTTCATTAAAAACTTAAGGGGGGAAGGGGTCCTCTGGGTTTAGATGTGTTTAAGAAAGGGATGTGGCTATGTATTCCGACACCACAGAGCAGATATAAGAAACAACTATGAAAAATAACATAAACAATGGCTGATTGCAAGTTTCTTTTAATCCGAAGAGTATTCCTCAGTATAAAAATAAACAATTATATTACATAGATATGTGTACCCGGCAGGCTACCAAGAGTATCCTGTCCACACGGCAGAATCTGGCAAGCTCCCCGTGGCATATTCGATATGCTAAAACCCAGTAACAATGATGGGTCTCATTCCCCTGACCCTGAAAGAGCCTCCAATGTGGCGCTTGCTAAAATCTCAGGGCTAGGACGAATGGAGACGATACTGGTGCCTGCTCGAGACAATCGATGAACAACAGAATGACAGTGATAAAATGATACAGTGAGATATGTGTAAGTGAACAAACATTACATGCACATACATCAGATACATATACATGACTATACATGTATAAGCATTTATGAATGTTATGTTTTATATAAAGTTAGTATGCGTGTATTCCACATACATTTTGACATAAATGTTGTTACAGTAAAATGTTTAGTAAAAGAAGCTAAATTTGGAAGGAAAAAATCCTTTATAAATATTCCAAACTTTTGGGGAATCTCGTGGTACACACTAACATTCTGACCATCCCAAATTTTTAAATTTTGGGTGGGCTACACCCAGAGGTGCTCAGAGCTTACTCCTGACTGTATACTCAGCAATCACTCCTAGAGCACTTAGAGTTGTACCAGAGTTGACAGTGTAAGGCAGGTGTCTAAACCAGCATTGTCTCTCCAGCTCAGATTTTAACCATCTTGAATATATAGTAGTCAAATTCATTCACATAAAATATTTTTATTACTGTTAATTAAAATCATGTAGAAACTTGAACCATAACACAAGAATATTCTACTGGAATATATTATAAAATTGAGTGTCTACAATTCTTTTAAATTCAGCTGCAATTCATTTTCACAATCTTTTGGTTAGCTTTATGTGCTATGGAACAGGTATATATACTGTTCATTGATTGCTTAATACTCATTCAGCTACCAGGCCAAAAACTAGAAGTCAGAAACCAGTTAACAAGAAAATACAAACTTCAAAAAAAAAGTCTGAAGATTCACCAGTGGATGGCAAAGTTGCCTCTACTCAGAAGAAGGTTTTTGTCTTATGTCAAAACTGTTCATAAGCACAAATTTTCAATAACCTAGACAGGCTTAAGGATGGAATTTCACAATTAAAGCTTACTTAAGTTTCAGAGCACTGTAGCACTATCCTTCCGTTGTTCATCAATTTGCTCGAGAAGGCCCAGTAACGTCTCCATTGTGAGACTTGTTGTTACTGTGTTTGACATATCGAATACATCACAGGGAGCTTGCCAGGCTTTGCGTGCGGGTGAGATACTCTCGGTAGCTTGCCAGGCTCTCCAAGAGGGGAGGAGGAATTGAACTCGGGTTGGCCGGGTTGGTCGCATGCACGGCAAATGCCTATCCACTGTGCTATCGCTCCAGCCCAAACTATGAAATTTACAGGTGGGAAATAATGTTTCATTTTATGTTTGACTTTTCACAGGCAAACAATCACAAAAGCGTAGGGCCAGAGAGAGTACAGCAGGAAGGGTGCTTGCTAATATGGCCAAGCCTGGTTTGATCCTCAGCACAGTCCTTGCAGAGCTGCACTAGGAGTGATCCCTGAATACAAAACAAAATTAAAATTAAAAGATTTTAGATTAAAATTAAGCCTTTTATTTTGGCTATATTAAACCCAAAAAGTAAAACTAATAGAGCTCAATTTTATATATACAAACTAGTAAATTCTCTTTAGCTCAAAATAATCTTGGGTTGACTCCAGAGAACTATCAGTAAGAAGTTATGAACTAAATGTGTTTGCAACTAAAACAAAAAACACTCCTTCAATCAAAGCAAGCAACTGGAGTAATCTACCTTACACTTTCAAGTACCGCCTATGTCTCTCCAAATTACAAATTCAAAAGACAAAATTATTCAAAAATATTTTACTGAATTTTCATTGTACATGAAAATATCCCTCTCTATACATATATATCTTAGATGACAATTTTAAATTGTAAGTATCTTAGATGGTCATTTTAAACATTTTGAATTTCCAAAAGATTTGCTAAAGATAATTATTTCCCCAATTTGCATATCTTTTATTAATATCTCAATGTAACTAAAAAATTTCATAAAATGGAGTTTAAAAAAGAGTATATGAAATGTGGGCATTTTACACCACATATTCTAATCAGACTACCACTGGATCATCATATTGATATATGAGTAGTTACAATATATATAAATGATATGATGAAAAGGAAATATATGCCTTCAAAGTATATTTTTTCTGCAATAAGATTTTCATCTTCATTATATTTACTTAAATTGTTCTCAATGGGCATTATAAACAAAAAACTGAAATGTACAAAGAAATAAAACTAAGTATTATGAATGATATGACCAAATGGCTCTATGATAGGACATGTATTATTTAGGTCTTGAACTACACCAAACCTGAGAATTAACTATTTTAAACAATATATATCTGCAGCTGTATTCATAGAAAAAAGAAAAAAATTATAAACTTATTCACAATATTAGAAGAGTCATCAAGTCCTCAGAATACTGCTTTTAGAATTACATTAAGTTCTGCTACAGGTGATGGACTTCTGACATCAACGACAGAATACCAGAAAGGAAGTTTGCATAATAATACACCATTTAAAAAGCATCTTTGCCTTTTCTTCAACACATTCAGAATTCAAAGACCTTAAGCCATAATCAAAATAATTTTTAAAATATCAACATTTTCCCACTTGAGACAAATGCCAAGGAGCAAGAAAAGTGCCCAAACCATTTTAAGAGAAGACTAAAGCATGAACATACATTAATACTGCTAACTACCTGTTAATAGTGGACAGGCTCTAAAGGAAACGCAGAGTTAAGAATAGAGAAAAACAGAAAAGGAATAAACAAAGGTAAGATTCTCCTTACAATACGCAGGACTAATACTATAAAAGGTGCCCCATGGTTCCAAAATGAAACTATCTCAAGAAAAAACTGCAATTATTATTACCCATTCTTTGCTGTTAAGTTTCGTATCACCAAGATTACATAAGGCCTGCATACCAAGTTCATCTTGCAAACTGCTGCCGCCTACAGCAGATGCATTGTCATGTGAGGCTTCTAAGTGGACACTCCCATTTCTCACCAGCAAGGAGGCACTAGCACTGAGCACTGCAGCCTGGGAAGGGGGACGGGACTGCACTTTGACCTGGGCTGTGGACTGCTGGCCTTGTTGACCATCTTGAAGGCTAGGAAAAAACATGGATTGGGGAGACATTACAGGGAAGAAAAGAGAAAACAACAGCTAGAATGAAGTCAATATAGAAAACTGATTTAAAAAAAAAAGTTTTCAATGTAACTGAAGGAAAAAACAATAAACTTTGTAAAATATAGGTTATATACTGCCAGCTAAAATTTTCTGGTCCTTACAAATGACTCATAGTGATGAACACAGTAAATATTTAATGTCTGTGTTAATTAATCAAGCTTACTCTTTTCTACTGTAAGGCAATAAATTTCTAATATAAGGATTAAGGCAGAAGCACATAAAATTCATGAGCATATTAAATATATGTAGTTGTAGCTGGTCCTCAATATTTCAGTAAAATATATATACTTTTACATATGACCCCGGATTTGTAATTCTAATTTGTTTTTTCAAAACATCTGCATCCCAAATTCACAGGAAGAACCTTTACATGAAATCCAAAGAATCACTGCCAAATGCAACCAAGATGACAATTTTGAATCAAAAAAAAAATCACAAACTAGTGCAAGAGAACCAGAATAACAGTGACTCAGCCAAGTGAAACGCAACAGACCACAATGATGCTGGAAGAAGTGTGATTAGTGTATAAAGAGTTTTCCCATGAAAAGTGCACAATCATAGTATTTAGGTTCCCTTACTAAATTCGGTCATTATCTTTTTCAATCCATATCAATTTCATTAACAAGGATTTAAAAATGTTTAAAAAAAGATTAAAAACCAGCAATCTTTCAGGATTATAAGCTTTCATAAATTAAAGAATATTTAGCATTTCATCATAAATTACTAAAGTTAAGTTATATTAACTTGTTTTTGTTTATTTCAAAGCACATTAAAATTTAGAATTCTTAGTACAATATTCAAATTTAAATTGATGAAACTCAAATCATATTGAGTATAACTGTCATGCTATCCTCTAGTCCATTTACTAAAATTATAGCTCTTGATGGGAAAAAAATATAAATGCTACTTAGGATGGTCTCATGCAGTCATTATTTTATAAGATTCAACTTCTTTCTAATCCATTAAATGCAAGAGTTTTTCTGATGTTTGTAGAACAAACTAATTTGCCCCCAGACAGTAAAGACATCTGCAACTTGAAGTAGCCATAAAATAAACAGACTAAATAGAAAATGCTCTATGTGTGCTTCAGACATGGTTATGGCAAGAGAATATACTCTGGAACTACAATGTCTGTTACAGGAACTATGTCAGCCTATTTTAAGTAACTAAACTTTTAGCTCCTCAGCTCCACTAACCACATTTCAAGTGCTCAAGAGCCACAAAATCTAACTAGTAGCTGCCAAAGCTGAAAGCTACCAACCACAGGACTTAGATACTGCTCACTAGAGTCTACCATACAGACAGTACAGATCATAGAACACTACAGAAGGCCCTATTAATCTCTATCTTAAACGTTCAATTTTTCAGGCTTCTTTAGGAGCCAATGAAAAGTAGACATAGTTAGGTGTATACCATGAAAATACTAAGTTGGCCAAATGCTGACTTGTCCATGCTTTACTGACATTGTGGGTAGGAGGCTGTGGGGAATTCACCAAAAAAAGTATTCATTTAGTAACATCTATGGAATAGAATCCGTGCAAAATAGAAGCAAACTAAGAGATGATCTTGAGAACTAATGGAACCAAATGTGTTCGTATCTTCCCTACATGTATATATAATAAACCTATTCATCTTCTTCAGGAGCTCTCTAAACATCTACATCTTACCAAAATGACTAAATTTCTCAGGAGTGAAAATTCTGATAAAAATGTGAAGTACTATGTCCCTTCAGATTCAGAAATAGCAGAATTTCATAAAAATGAACTCATTTTCTATTAAAATTTTCACTTATAGTCATATTCAAAGATTCCATTAAGGTCATTTGCTATCCCTGAATGTGAATATATTTTAAAATACACTAATCCCAATATATACAAAAATATACACACTTCTGAATAGTAGGAAAAGCATAAATCAACTCTGGAATAAAATCAGCCAAAATCTTTGTGGTCGAAAACATCCAGGTCTTGAACATCAAAGGCTCTTCACAAAATGATTATGTCTTTCAAATCCCTGATTTCAAAATCCTTCAACAACAGCCAAAATTGTCAATTTTGCAAAAATCCATGGAGCATTATACTTCATTTTAAGCAATAAGACTTAAGCATTATACCTCATTTAACAATTCTGTTAATTGACAAGAATTATCTTTCCCACAGTACCAACTGTAAAACAAAACTACCAATTTAAGAAAAAGTAGCAACCATTTTACACCACAGGAAAATTAAAAAATGTAGGTCCATAACTATCAATTACCAACATCATTGATGCACGATTTTAATAATGTCATAATTCTAATTTCAATGATAGAAATACAGTCACTTGTAGGTTCTGCTTTATACTATTAGTTATATTCATATGTCATTCCAACTAAAATGTAAACTCTGAAGAGTGTAATGCCATTATTCCTATGAATCTCCAGATTTAAAGAACACATACACAAGCAATAAGTATTTGGTGGATTCATTCCTGAGCACCACAAAATGGTCCCTAGAATTTCTGATTATGGATTTTTCTATTACAATGATCTTAGCTGATTACTGATCTTTCAGTTTTATATTTATTTTTATAAAAATTTTTATACAATATTTAACAAAATATTTATTAAATATTTATATTTTAACAATAAATATAAAAAGCTTTATCTCCCAATGCACTGATATTTTCTCTTCACTTTAGTCCATTAACTAGAGTTATAAAAGACATAAAATTATAGTTTTAAATACAAATACAGAACCATCGTATAAATGTTTAAAATATTCATCTTTGTTTTTAACTCTAGTAACGGACAAAAAATAGCAAGGGTTTATATATAACCTATCTACAAAGAAAACCAAATTAAAACTTTTAAAAATAATCCCTTAACAGGATATTCTAACAGGCACACAACAGGGTCAAAAGTTCTTTTTTTAGGAATTACTTGTTTCCAACTCTTAGAAATATGTATTTTACCAAGTTTCTATACAGATGTTTACTTAGAATTAAGTCTTTAGTGGTATTTATATATTACTTATAATTAAAGCGCTATCACATCCATTATGTTTCTTTTTAACAAATAACTTTTACAAATTTTACCTGACCAGGCCCTCTAATATTTAAAGATGAGATTTTGTAACTCATAAATGATTAACACCAATATACTTACTTAAATATTTTTATAATTATGGAAGATGCTTTTATAAAACTGGGATTTTTCATAATTCCTCACAACTAAATTTTACCTTATTTTATCTATCATGAGGTTAGTTAACTGGAATCTCATAATGCCAATGAGATAATTTTCCAAATTTCTAATGTGAGCCTTTACGAGTAATTTTATACCGTATTATGCTTTGAATGGTGATGTAGTAAAATCCTAGAAAAACATGGAGAACTCCTATGTGACTGGCTAAGGTGAGAAATATAGTTCTTTAATATTCCACCAAGAAGAGAAAAAAACTAATCTGTCAGCATTTGTCTGATGAGATCAGCAGGCTCTTAGCAAAGAATGAGAAGGCTTTTTAAAGACTAAGGAAAGAACATTTAAATGAGGTTTAAGACATGGAATCAGTTGAAAAGCAAAGAGACTATGGCAAGAATTTATTCAAGGAGCAAAAAGCAGAAGTTAGAAAAACACAAAATAGAGATAGTAAAACGAAACACTGCTTTTACTGCAGGTTGGGACTAGGCACAAACTTTCAGCAGAAAAAAAGTTACCTTAGCAAAAAGAAAGAGACAGAAAGGACACAGCAGAAGAGGGCGTACAAAAAGCAAAGGTATTCAGTAAAGGTTTCTAGACCAATTTTTTTTTTCAACCGGTCCCTTTCCATTGTTATACTGTAAACTTTGTCTGAACTACTTTTTATGAACATATATATTACTGCAAGATTAACAGGAACGTGATTCATAAAGATTAAGTTCCCGGCTTTAACATAAAATCTAGAAAAGTGTCATCTGAAATCTTAGGGAAATACAGGCCAGAGTGATAGTGCAGGGTTTAGGGGTACCTGGTTGTATGCAGCCAACCCAAGCACCAAAAGGTCTCCAGCGTGGGCCCTGAGCACCACTGAGTGTGGCCCAAATTCCACTGTTCCCTGCTCCCCATTAAAATCTCAGGGAAAGAAAAAATAAAACAGCATTTTTTTTTAATGATGCTCTGAAGAACAGGATTTTAATCAGGAGAACGGCTTACTCTTCCAACCAACCATGTGTTCAAAGGCTCTTCATTTTCAATTTAAAATGAAAATGTGGTAGAAATCATTTAAGTAATAAAGTTTTCTTGACAAAGAATTAATTAAAGTATGAGGTATAACATTAGGCAGGCACTGCTTTAAAAAACACAGGCAAAATAGCTTTATCCACATCTATATTCCTACTAGTAAAATACATATCTTTTGAATAATTTTATATTTCAGATTCAAGACAGGCTCAGGACATTTGACACAACTTAGAACAAAACATCTACTTAGGGGCCAGAGATGGCTCAGTGGGCTGGAGCACATGCATTGCATGCAGGAGCCCCAGTTCAATCCCCAGCACCTCATATGGTCCCCTAACACTGCCATTAGTAACATCCAAGCACTGACCAGGGAGTGTAGTCCTGAGATGTGGCCTCGAAGCCCCCCTTAAAAAAAAAAAAGAAACTACTGAAATTTTAATGGAATTTAATTTTGATATTATAGATTCCTTCTTAATTAGGAGCCTTGGAAAATTGTTCCTGTACAGTATGTAAACTGCGTAAGTTGAGAAGTTCTTCATAGATATCAAAACAGTTAATCAAAACAGTTAGCAGTTTTATGTCTAACTGACAGTATTTACCATAGTTTACTTTTGTGTCATTTACTAGTCTTGATGATTGTAAGTTGCCAGTTTTCAAATAATATAAAATTTATTTATTTAGTGAAATTCAACAAATTAGCTCCTCTGACGGAAGTCCAGTTATGTATTTTATTCCTCAACATGCTCACCACTTGGATCACGCTTAATAAAACAGAAGGGTGAGCGGTGGATGCTAATTTGGAGCAGGAAAAAAGTAAAAATAGAAAGAAGCTAATGTAAGGCCCCTCCATGTACGTATAGTTCCATGACTGCCCTAAAGAGTATTTTGGAATTAAAACTGGCTAACCCTATCTGCTTCTGTTCCAACAGTGCGATATAAGGCATGCACAATGCAAGAGGCCCAGGTCACATGCAGAGAAAGGGCTTGAAGGTACAGCAGAGAAAACGGGGAGGGGGGGAGGGGAAAGAAGCCGCTTAAATGCTTTCCTGGCACTGACAAGAGCAGGTCAGAAGGTCTGATACATGCATGCTAAGCTTGGTGGAACTTTAAAATACCATACCTTAGGGGTGATCCGATGAGCAATGTAGGAGGGGTAGGGTTACTCCCTGCATTGTGCCGGCGCCGCACTGCCTGGCGCCTAAATGTGCTGCGTTCACGGCGAAATGACACCGCCTCCTCGCTGGCCTGTGCTGCTGCATCAAGACAGACTTAGGTCAAATAGGAGCCTCGGTCAGAGATGGAAATAGCGGCCGAGCCTGCCACTCCCTGGACTTCCCACCCGCAGAGGGAATAAATACACCAGGAGAATGGGTCATGCACTTAAAGACTGGTTTCTCTGAAAACAATGTTTTGGATATCTGGCCTCATTGCCTTCTAGTTAATCTCAGTTGCCTTTTTTTTTTTTTAAGAACTGTTGCTTTAAATCTTTTCCTAGAAGTCTTGCTATTTATTTAACTCCACATTCTTCTATCCCCCTTTAATTATGAGTCGTAAAAAGGACCATATTTAACAGTTCCGACTAAAGGAACAAGGTGGTAAGGGTCTTACTAGAAGGGGGCCAGTAAAGGCAGCAATGATAACACTTTGTTTTCATGTCTCGGAGAAAAGGCCTTAACTTTATCTCATGCTATCCTCCACCAACATTTTGGTAGCATTTTGATTTTGAGAGTATTTTGATGCCAAATATAAATACAAGTTATAGGAGAAATAGTGTTTCCAAACACTCTGACTGCTATATTACACAAGTAGGTTTTTAAATGTTCAATTCAAGATGGCACGAATATACCCTAACTCTGAGGTAGTTTACTGCCATCAAATTTTATTCAACCCTCTATCCAGGGTACACTGTTCGCTCAACATTAGGAAACAAGAACCAATAAAAATGGCAAGTTTAGAAACTCATACCTTAATCCCAAAGCAATAAAGAACAATCTAAAAACAAGTTGACAACAATGAGAAAATCATATCACTGGCTTAAATTGATTACATTTTGATTTTGAGAGTATTTTGATACTAAATATAAATACAAATTATAGGAGAAATAGTGTTTCCAAACACATGAGAAGTCTGAAATAGATTATAAAATTATGCTGTTGTTGGATTCAGTACTACTGTAGGCTTTTTATTTTACATAAATTACTGATGCTCAAGTCATTATTCTACTTAAGAAAAAGTCATTTCCACCAAATGCTGGTTTTAATAAATTGCTAATTTAAATTTTCACATTTTAATCCCATCCTCAAGCTACCCTAGTGGATATTCTTTGTATCATTAATCCAATATAATTAGGAATATATGGACTACTACCAGAGAGCATGGATTTCTGTGTTTGTAGGCATTATTTTCTTTTACTGAAGGACCAACAAGCACAACATTATTTTATCTATTTGGCAAGCTTCTTCCAGTATGATGTATAAACCACAAGTTACAGGACACACAAATGTTTCTTTCCAACTCATGCACCACCATGATATCCTAAAGTTAGGCAACTAAGTAAAAATCTGGCTTTGAGATTTGGATCCAAATCCAAATCCTTAACTAATATATATTGTTTTCTCTCCAGTTTTATTGATACAGAACAAAAATTCCTTTAAATGCTAAAAAGCTGATACTTGCCAAAGCTCTTGCACACACCAATTATACAGAACTTGTAAGAACAAATACTGCTTTTTAAAGCTGACTTTCCCGGCTGGGTTGTTCAACGTGGTAACTAATGGCCATAAGCCTTAACTATTCCTGACAACTATAACCTCAAAAGGAAACCAAAAGCAGCAGCATCACAAAACAGAAAACCGAAGTTGGTAAGGCAGTCACTCGATGAAGAAATAACAGCAACAAGTTACTTGAAGGAAAGATTGTAAAAATTAGGTGAGTGATTGGTACAGCAATTAATAGTTCTTTGGCATAAGTAAGGTTAACTCAGGTTATGCAATCTGAAATCTCAATTCAACACTTATTTTGTGAAATTTAATTGGTTTCTGTTTTCCTGTTGTTAGCAGCAAACTGGCTTAATTTACAGGTCAAGTTACTTCATTTAGAAATGCTGAAGCATTCTGTTTAGCTGTAGATATTTTGTCTTAAAAAAGAGTAAAATTTACCCAAGTATAAGTACTGAGGAAAGTTTAATTCAAAGAATGTATTGAATTTATTCAGAACAACGTAAACACACAGCACATGATCACTGAATACAGAGGCTAAGAAGGGGGAAAATAGGAAAGAGTTTACTATCTTACTTCTACTGAAGAGTTAAGTACAAGCTAGTTATTTCATAGTCCCAAAACAAAAAGACAAACTACAGTGTCCATTTGTAGTCAGAATGTTCTGTGGCTTCTTCAGAATACAGTAACTTTTCTATTAATCCACCATTCATATTTTGGTATCTGTAAAAATAACTACATATTAACGTCATACTATTTTGGAGAAACACATTTTTTATTAAACACATCAAGACAAACACTGACCAAGGTATAAAATGAAGTTACAATTACTGCCTATGTTATCTGCAACAGTCATGGTATAGACAGCTAATGTTGAAAAAATCCTCAGTATTTACTACAGCGACTACTTTAATAGTATCAAGAATCATACAATCAACTAAAAACACTTCCATAATTTGTAATCAACAAAGATTAAACCAGGACTCCCCCACTCCAGTAAATATGCTATGTACACAGAACACCTCTATTTGCCTTAAGTTCTGATGAGATCAATCTCATTAGAATCAAGGAAAGAAAAATGTCCCCCTTTTTTTGGTTTGTTTTTGCTTTGGAGCAACACTGTGCAGTGCTCAGCCTTATTCCTGACTCTGAACCCAGAGATCACACATAGTGGGAATGGGGGGGTGGAAACCATAAGGGGTGCCAGGGATGGAAACTGGGTACTATCTCTCCAGACCCAGAAAAATGCCTTTAAAGACTAAAATAATTTGTTGTAATTCAGTCTATAAATTATAGTTACACTTGACGAAAACTCACTTCTGCAACAAACTACTGAAATAAATCCCTCCTGAATCTTTTGCAAGAGAAAGAAAACTGTGTGAAAAAAATGTTTTTTACTGGAGAATAGGGAGAAAACATCTTTAACCTGGTTTTAAAAATGACATTCTTACACTGCTTAAAACTCAGTAGGAAAGTAAAATTAGCTGGATTATTAAAGAGTTGAAATGCAAATTGTGAAAAGTTAGCACATTAGATACAACCAAATTTTATATGTAAAGGAGAGAAAAATCACATTCAAATAATTTTAAAGACACAAATATAAAATATTTTAAGGACAGAATAAAAATTGTGAATTTTAAGTTTTCTGTCTAACTGCAAGAGTTGTTTGCTTAATACTTGTGTTAAGCAGACTTAAAGAGACTGAATACAAATGAGTTCGTTTAAAAGAGAACTTTAGATGATTTAACTCTATTTCTAGTGTAGAAATCATCATTCAATTAAGTAAAGTAAAGTAAAGGCCCTCCTGTTGATCATCGATTTGCTCGAGCGGGCCCAGTAACGTCTCCATTGGAGACTTTGTTGTTACTGTGTCTGGCATATCGAATACTCTTGGTAGCTTGCCGGGCTCTCCGAGAGGGGCGGAGGAATCGAACTCGGGTCGGCCATGTTGGCTGCGTGCAAGGCAGACGCCCTACCCGCTGTGCTATCGCTCCAGCCCTAGTCTAGTGAGTGGTCGCAAGGTCAACCTAAAGTCAACCTGCAGCATTCAATTAAGTTAGAACATTTACTGAGGGCCTAAGGGCAATTCGTGTACAAGACACAAGTATCTTCTGAGTTACCGGGAGGTCACTCTCAGAGATGCTCAGTCAGGTGGTGTAGTGCTCGGGTTCTGGTGGTGCTGGTCACTCAAGAAGTGGGATAATACCCAGCAGTGCAGAGGAGTGACTAGGCAAGGGATCATGTGGTACCAAAATCAGACTCCGGGTTTTGCATAAATTTAGCTTTGTGCCTCCCCCTCTCTTTGAGTCATATCCCAGTCCCTAAGATTTTTATCTTAGGGGCTGTGGTCTTACCTATTCCTAATGATCACAAAGAAGACAAAGTCCATGACACATTGTTTCCCATCTCAGGACTACGTCCCACTTAATTTATCTCAGTTAAATAAGAAGAATTATTTAGATGTAACTATTTTTAATTATGGAGGAATTAAAATAATAAACTATCAGTATTTCTGACTTTATGAATAAAAAAAAGAACAATAAATGCATGTTAAGGGATATACAAGAGAGAAAGTTGATGAGCCAGGAGTAAGCGCTGTTCATATCTATCTTAAACATTAGAAATGTTTGCTTATAAACATGCACAGATAAAGATGAAATATACATACTTGAAAACAATGTCAAAAACATAACTGCTTAGAGAAATAATTCATATGAATAGCTGGTTATGCCTAGCGTCATAATATATGAAGTGAATTTATAAAATAGGGACAAAAAAAACTATACAAGATAGGTGCTATTTTCAATGGAAATTGTTTATTATATGAAAAAACAAGTAAATTTAAGGTGATTCTGAAAACAATTTTTTCTTGATAACAGACAAATCAGAACCAAATGATGTTAAAAAAAATAATTGGACTTTAGGGCTGGAGAGATAGTACAGGGGTTAAGATCTTGCATGACATCAACAATGATTCAATCCCCAACATCACATATGGTCTGGTCCCAAGCATACCCAGGGATCACTCCTGAGCACAGAGGCCAGAAATCACCCCTGATCACCACTGGATGTGGCCCCAAGCCCCACTCCCCCCAAAGAAAAGAAAATTAGACTTTAAAAAAAGAAGTCAAAGACACATATGCACATACTGTCACTGTCACTGTCCTCCGTTGTTCACTGATTTGCTCCCGGGCCCAGTAATGTCTCCATTTTGACACTTTGTTGTTACTGTGTTTGGCATATCCAATATGTAACAGGCAGCTTGCCAGGCTTTGCTGTGCAGGCAAGATACTCTCAGTAGCTTGCCGGGCTACATCTCAGAAAAATAAAATATGCATGCAAACATTCTGCAGTATTTATTCTCTAAGATAAGAGAAATTTTATTTAAAAATAAAATAAAGTCATTGTAAGCAGAGTTGGAAAGATATTACAGCATGTAGGGTGCTTGTCTTGCACATAGCTGACCTGGGTTTGATCCCTGGCATCTCATATGATGTACCCAGAGTACTGTCAGGAGTAATTCCCAAGTGCAGAGCCAGGAGTAACCCCTGAGGATCACCGAGTGTGACTCAAAAAGAAAAAAAAAAGATTAAAATAAAGTTGCTGTATGAAGAAACATACATTTAAATAATTCTCCAAGAAAAATTTAACCAAAGTGTTTTGGTATCAGCATGAAATCCATCTTATTAAAACATATTTTCCATTTCCAATTTCCTGTCAGCCAAGAATGATACTAGCATCAGCATACAAAGAATTTTTGCTCTAATACAGAAACAAATACTGAGAAGCATAACTTTCTGAGAGGCAAAAAAACAATGAGTCTACTGGACAATTTTCAAGCATTCATTCTGAGTTAAAAACCAGTTCTGGAAAATTAACATCTCCATGAAAACATTTCAAAGGATTCCTCAAGTTTTTGGACAAGTAAGCCAACAACAAACAAGAGCAAACAACATTAGCTGTGCTGAGTTCAAAAGAATTTTCAAATTCTTACTGCTATTTCCACAATTCTAGGTAGTCAAACAGAGTTGAGCAGACAACAATTTCAAGAAATTAAATGATATCCTAAGTCATAATTCACACCAACAATTGCTGGAAGAAAAGTTAAGGATTACTTACTCTCATAAATGGCTCCTAATCTTTTCTAATCCTTAGAAAATGGAACTGTCTCCCACACAACTGCACTCAGAAACAATTCTGCCTGTTTCAGAAGATTCACCTAATAATGGGTCATTAATGAAGAATACATATCTGATGTAATGTATACAAAGAATAAAACTTCCTTACAAAATATTAAAAAGCAGCAGCTCTCAGTTTTATAATTAACACTATAGTTTAAGATGCATTTTTACACATCTAAGCTCATTGGAGGCTGAGAATAGTTAATACTAGGCAGGCTTACACAGCCACTGTTTCTGTTTTACAGCTAACACAGAGGCATAGGTATAAATGTATCTAAATAGTAACCTGATGTGATATTTAAATGCAACTGATTCCCTGTACAGAAGTTCACTGTTGCCAAATTTAAAAAAATATATACTCCTATTAAGTCTCTTCCTACCACACAAAATCAGTACAAGATGGCCTGGAAATTCTAAACACCAACTCTAATTTGCCTCATCAATTAAAACATCTCTGTTCTTTTTGGGGTTTTTTTGTTTGTTTGTGGGGTCATACCTGGCAATGCTCAGGACTTACTCCTGGCTCTGTACTCAGGGACTGCTTTTAATGATGCTCGGAGATCATATGCCAAGTCAGGGATCAAACCCAGGTCAGCCACTACACGGCAAGTCCTCACCTGATGTGCTGTCTCCTCCAGCTGCAAACATCTTTCTTCTTAAAACTATCTTATAAGAATTGTATCAAGTAACTAAAACTCAAGCCTATTAACAACATTTAATAAACCTTCTTTGTGGTTTCATAGATTTTTGCTTTCTCTTAGTATAGACTAACTGTAATATAATTCTTCCTTAATGAAACAGGGTCAGCCGCATTATACATTCCCGACTGCATTATACTATAATAAAGCATTAAATTATAGTGCTGTTGTCCTTGAACAAAATGACAAAGCTAGTTTGTCCCTGACTTTAACAATCCTTCCATTCTGTTTCTGCTTTATTGGGAAGATATTCCAACTTCTTTTAGTGTCAGCAATTACTTTCTTCTGTTGTCATTATTTCAACCTCTCCAAGTTCCCCTCTCACTCCTACAGTTTGCTTCTTCTGACTTGTCAAATCAACTCAGAAATCAGAAAATTAAATCTATTAGAACTCACGAGTCTATTTAGAAAAAAGCACAAAAGACTTAATTCACCTGTTGTCTTTTGTTTAATGGACTCTGTCTTTTCTTTCTGATGTTTACAATACTCAGATTCAAAATAATTAATCTTCAATTTACATGTAATGGCACAACCCCTTCTTATTTATGAAGAAAACTCAATGTTCTTTGAATAAATTAATATTCCCTTAACAAAAGATTTCATTATTCCCCCACACAAAAATGTTATACTGGAATCTTATAAGACTGTAGCATAGGAACCCAAAAATCACATTTAAAATAATTTTCCCGATTAGAGTGACAAAGGTAAGAAATTCCGAATACAATACAAAGTATAAGGGAGAAAATATCAACATATTCAGTCCGGTTGTTCCTGAGGATCTGCTGAATCATGTAGTAAATAAGTTCAAGTAACCCATCGAAAAGTGATTTCTTAAAAACTGTAAAGTAAACAGGTAAAGGTAATAAACATGATAATCTTTCAGCACTTGCAAACCATAATGCCCCAAAGGAAAGAGAACAAGAGAGAGAGAATGAAAGTGCCTACCGTTGGTGTGAGAGGAGTGAAAGGAGGGAAACTGGGGACATTGGTGGTGGGAAGTGGACACTGGTGAAAGGACAGGTGCTGGAAACCCAATCATAACCTTGCACTGTGTTTCTCAGGGTGATTTAATTAATAAGTAAATTAATTACTAATTAATACTGTAAAGCTAGAAAACAGGATTTTTTTAATCATATATATGGTTATCTGTATACCATACATATTTTTTCATTCCTACTAGCCTTAAATTATAAAGAATATGCTTTATCATTATAGAGAAAAAAAACACAAATATATCAATAATAGAAATAATTTTAATCAAAAGTATGTCTTGCTTAGTTAGGCAGTGAATATTTATGAAATCTAATTTTAACCAAGTACTCGATTAATGGTTAAAGTCACTATGAAATCAATCACTTGTTAAGTAGTTTAATATTTGAAAATAATTTTTGGGGCTGGAGCAATAGCACGCGGGTAGGGTGTTTGCCTTGCACGCAGCCAACATGGCTGACACAGGTTCGATTCCCAGCATCCCATATGGTCCCCTGAGCACTGCCAGGAGCAATTCCTGAGTGCATAAGCCAGGAGTAACCCCTGAGCACCGCCAGGTGTGACCCAAAAAGCAAAAATATATATATATATTTGAAAATAATTTTTAATGAGATTGATATCCATACTACTTTTTATTTGAGACTGTTAATAAAACGTTTTTCTGCTGAAATTATGTAAGAATTTGAAAGGCAGATATTTTTACTACTACCAATTTTCAAATGAAGCAATTAGACTGCTTCTAAATGTATCTCTGTATTTATTTGTTTTCTTATACCTTAAGGGAAAATACACTTGAGGAGCATGACAAACTGACTTGTATAATACAAACTGCAGCACTATTAAGCATTATTACATGTCAGGCATTATACTGAGCATCTCACATCTAACTCCTACAATCCTTACAGACACCCTGTTGAATACTGTCTCCATTTTAAGGAGAATGAATTGAGGTGTGGAGAAGGTGATTCTAAGAATTAACATTGCAGTGAGCCTACGTACTAAGAGGAGAGCATGAATATCTACATAGTAAATAACCTCCTATGTCGGCACTTCAAAATATGTATTCTAAATTCCATCCTTCTTTACTACCAACACCACTCAGCTTAAAAAAAAAAGGAATTTGGCAGAATTTGGAGAATTTGGCAACACCACCAAATTCCTTAGAAGGGGGTAAGGGAACCTGGTTGATGTTCAGATATATAAATGGTCAGTGTTCTCTGTTTCCTTGGTCAATGATCTGTTCTTTTTGGGAGATTTTGTTTGTTTGGGGATTGGCTTTTTCTTTGTGTTTGGGCTTACTCCTGGCTCCGTGCTCAGACATCATGCCTGCTGGGCTCTGGGGACCAGATGGAATGCTGTGAATTGAACCCGGGTTGGCCGTGTGCAAGGCAAATGCCCTGCCCACTGTACTATGTCTCCGGCCCCCCTTGACCAAAGTCTAAACAAAGGGGATGGGCAGAAGATTAGGAAAAAAGGTTACAGTTCTAGTAACAAAAGACTTCATTATTCAAATCTTAGTGAAGAATCTGATTCCACAATAAACAGAATAAACAAACAATTCCTGGGCAGGAGAAAATAGTAAGAAACAATTTAGAAATACACAAAATGGAAAAGACATGCTGACAGTATAAAATCACTTACTAAATTTTGCACAGTTTCCCTTAAATTTGAAATAAATGTGCAAATACTTTCACCATGATGCCATCATCGTTATCAAAATACTTTTTAATATATCCATTGATGGATGCCAAATGCCAATATAAACAAAAATCTAAATTTAATAAACTTTAAGAAAAGTATGAAGTTACAGGGAAAAAATTTTAATTCCTTAAATCTGAGTTAGAAAGAAATAAAATCAAAGAGAGACCAAAAGTGGGCAGGAAGGAGGGGGGAAGCTGTAGGTTTTCAAAGTAAAGATCCGAGTTAAGGCAGTTAAGGCAGTATCTGGGAACATCTTATGTAACAGGTTAGTGATCTAATTCTCAAAGTTTTGCGGCATACACACTGCTTAAGAAAAGACTAAAAATGGTTTGGTGCCCTACATTCTGTTGTTGCCATTGTACAAAAACGAAAGAGGAATAATTTTTGTTACTCCAGTTAAAACGTTACGAGGCGAAAACTGGCTTACAAAATGAATACCATCAAAAGCAAAATTATATAATGCCATTGAAACAACATTTCCTTGTTGCTTATTCCAAAATCTTCTTCAAAATAATCATCTTCTTCCCGAAAGAAAATAGTGTTTTCTTTTTTTTTTTTTTTTAAATAACAGCAAATGGAGACATGTTAACACAGCACATTTTGATAGTAATTACTCTAACCAACCAATAGCACCAAAAATAGTAGTGACTCTGAGGGCAATCTTCTTCCTGCAATTTGCTTACCTCCACTGATTGCATCTTGCTCTTCGCCTTCTGGAAATGCAACTTGGGTGGGCAAGCTATTCCTAGATCGAGTGACAGTCTCTAACTGAGAAGCCCGTCCCAATAAAGACAGCTCATCTAGCACCTCTCCTTCTTTGGCTTCGAGATCTGATTTTGAAGTGGTTAAGGGTTTGCTACTTTCAGGAGCCATTAGCCTATTGGAGTCATTCAAACAGGCCACCGTGCCGCTGTCCAGGCTCAACACTCGGGCCCGTGTCTTGGCACTATTTGTGCTGGAAGTCCGACGCGGTGTCCGCTTTTTGCCAGTTCCCTCGGGACCCAGGTGAGCTTTGTGTGCGCGCTCAGAGTCGGCGCCCCTTTCCTTCGAGGCGTGCCTGGTCTTTAAGGTGCTGTACCTGCCCTCGGGAGACTGACACAAATGGGAAGTGGTGCTGGACGAGCTATCGCTGCTGAGCTGGTGAGCCGACTGCACGCTGGACGCTCGGCTCAAGTCGCTTTGGTCACTAGAGTCTTCGTCGTGACAGAATATCGCACTGTGGGGCTTGGTGCCAGAGACACCTCGAAAGGACACATAGTCCCTATGCCGGCTGGAATCAAAGCTGCTAGCCCGTTTCTTCCCTGTCCGTCTCCGGCCCGACTTATGGGCAGAGGCCTTCCGGTGGATTAAGCTAGACGATTTGGGGCGAACATCCCCTTCCTTCCCACCTTTGTCTTTACCAACTTTGGGATCCACAGCTGGCTGCTCCGTCTGCTCCTCTTCATTGTCAGCAGTTTTCCCGAGCGGTCTGTCTGCCTGGGAAGTAAATTCATTGGCATGGGGGTTCTTGTTAGCTTCTTCAGACGCAGAGGTGCTGAGACCCCTCTGATTCTGCATCTCGTCTGAGGTATTAGACTCCTTGGCCTCCTGAACCCCACTATTGGTACTTACTTCCAAGGTGGTCTTTTCGCTACTAGTCCTTTTGTCGCTGGAGCAGCTACTCTTGTCCTCTGGGTCAGCACAACACTCCTTTCTCCTCCCACTTTTCTTCCCTGCTTTCGGTGAGTCCTCATCGTGCTCTGACAAGATACTCTCTATGTGGGTCGAGCTGGTCTGTTCACTTTTATAGCTGCTGACGGTGCTGTGAGTGTCACGGTCAGTGCCACTGCAGTAGCTCTCTGTGGACCCACTGCTCCGGGTGCTCAGGCTCCTCAGACTGTCCAAGCTTTTGTCAGCCTTCAGTGCTTTGCTCTTGCCACTTCTTGGAGGTGGCGGAAAACTACTGGTTTTTGGCTCTCCGACAGGCTGAAATTCTCCAGACACACGAGAGTTTTCCGCCAACGATTCTTTGGATCCAGAATGAGGCTTGGAAGATTCTAACTCACTCACTGGGTCTAACCCACGTCTTTGCTGATACAAAGGGAAGTCATTCAGTGACGTGTCCGGAAAAGCAACAGCAGAGCTAGAAGTCCGTGGCACGCCTCGTGGCCTGTGATCTTTCCTGTAAGAGTGTGAATGCAAAGGGACAAGGGAAGCCACTTCTGTGTCACAGGCACTGGACAGAGACTGATCAACGTGGTGGTGGTGACTATGATTTGGCAGGCTCACTTTGTCACTAATGTCTCTTGGTAAATCCTGTCCACAGGAGGACAAGGAAGGCTGGATGGAGATGAAGGAATCATTGGAGACCAATCGGAAGAGTTTCCGGTCAGTTGCCAAATCTGTTTGAAACATATTATTTGGAAATGTTAACACAAATCTACAATCTGCTTTTCTACTGTTTAACAATGGAAAGAATTCACAGAACACAGTAAATTGAGTGAAACAATTTCTCAAGTTCACTGAATAACAGTTGGCCAGTCATTCCAAAGAGCTGGTTTCTGTTTCACAAAGAAGACATTCAAAATGATGGCAAGAACTAAACCTCTAAGTCTCAATAAATCCCAGAAAAGGCTCTATGCACTACCAACAATAAAATTAGAGGCAAAAGAGAATTTCTTACTTTAAATGAACCAGAATTTCTATGTGAATACTACTTCCAACTGACCAACTTGGAAACCCTGGCTTACCTTTCTTTCTAAACCTCCATTTCCTCAGCTATAAAATGTGACATCACTCTCACTGAGTAGCACTGTGGAATAACTGAATTAATTATATACATGCTGAGCACTATATCTGGCACTATTAATGGCAGCCATCATTATTTTACCTCACTTGGTGCAATCTTTTTGAAAAAGAGCATGATAATTTTACAAATCAACAAAAACCTAAAGAAATCAGAAAAAGAAAAAAACAGACTGTCCACTGCCTAAGAAGTACAATATAATGAGGCAAGATCTTAAAACAGGGAAGCTGGAGTGATAGCACAGCGGGTAGGGCATTTGCCTTGCATGCAGTCAACCTGGGTTCGATACCCAGCATCCCATAAGGTCCCCTTATGAGCACTGCCAGGAGTAATTCCTGAGTGCAGAGCCAGGAATAACCCCTGTGCATCGCCGGGTGTGACCCAGAGAGCAAAAAAAAAAACAAAAAGATCTTATAAAAGGAACTGGAGAGATAGTACAGCAGATAAGGTGCATGCCTTGTATATGCATGACCTGGGTCCAATCCCCAGCCCATATGGTTCCCTGACCCCTCCAGAGTGATCCCTGAGTGCAGAGCCAGGAGTAAGCCCCAAGCACTTCCGGGTATGGTGCAAACACCAAAACAAAACAAATAAACTCAACAAGGACTGATTGTATTTTTTACTTAATAAAAATTTTTTGCAGTGATAGCTACTAGTGCTTAATATAGAAATGCTTGCTCACATAATGCTCGTGGTGATACAAAGTAGTATTGCCTTCATAAAGCAAACTGGAATATAGCCAAAGACTTTCAAAAAAGTAGTACACTTACCCACGATAAGCAATCTAATTTTAGAAAGTGCTGCTAATGAATCCTATCAAATGTGTCTAAGTAACAAGATCAAAAACTTGTTCATCTCAAGAGTCTATAAAACCTAGTAAAACACAAAATGTATCTAAAAGTGTTGCCCAAAAAGGCTGCATAATTATTATCATACATAAAAAGGTAAAGGCCCTCCCGTTGATCGTCGATTTGCTCGAGGTGGTCCAGTAACGTCTCCATTGGAGACTTTGTTGTTACTGTGTCTGGCATATCGAATACTCTCGGTAGCTTGCCGGGCTCTCCGAGAGGGGCGGAGGAATCGAACTCGGGTCGGCCATGTTGGCCGCTTGTAAGGCGAACGCCCTACCCGCTGTGCTATTGCTCTAAAAAATGTCTTCAAAGATTATACAACATGAGAAAATAGTTAAGGAAAAAGATGAAAGGGATTGGAGAAATATTACAGTGGGTCGGGAGCTTGGCTTGTACATGGCTCACCTAGGTTCAATCTCCAGCACACCGTACAGTTCCCCAGGCCCTGCCAGAAGTGATCCCTGAGCACAGAGCCAGAAGTAAAACCTGAGCATCATCAGGTGTGGCCAAAACCAAACAAACAAAATGATGGTGCCATGTAGAAAAAGTTAGGATTCCAATCTGTAAGAATTTTTTTTTTAGTGCAAAGGGTACATGTAGATATGTTTGCATTATTGTCAAAAAAAATATACTACAGACAAAGAAAGGAATAGTCATGATATATGTGTAGCATGGTTAGGTTAAAGAATTAAGACACATGGGCTGGAGAGATAGCACAGCAGGTAGGGCGTTTGCCTTGCACACAGCCAACCCGGGTTCGATTCCCAACATCCCATATGGTCCCCCGAGCACTACAGGGAGTAATTCTTCCTGAGTGCAGAGCCAGGAGTAACCCCTGTGCATCGCCCAAAAAGCAAAAAAAAAAAAAAAAGAAGAAGAAGAAGAATTAAGACACAAAAAGCCACATATTGTTTAATTTCATTTATATAAAATGTTCAGAATAGGCAAATGTCTGGGACAAGATATAGGTTAGTGACTGCCCAGTACTGACTGAAAGAGGAAATAAAGAGCATAATAGGGACAGCTTATTTTGGAGATGATGAAATGTTCTCGAAGGGGATGGTGGTGATGAACACACAGCTGTTTAAGTACAGTAGCCCCTACCCCCTTATCTGGCGATTCTCTTTCTACAATTTGTCACCCAGAGCCAAGCATCTGAAAAGATGACAGTATTTTCAGAGATTACTTTCATGACTTCATTACAGTATATAATCATGAATTTCTATTTCTTAATAGAAATCTTTTTCCATAACTAATTTATAAATTAAACTTTATCATAGATACATATAGAAGGACAGGGAATACACTGTTTAAAGTCTAGTCTAACTACCACTTCAGTTAACCACTGGGACCTTGACACATATCCTCTGCAGACTGAGGGGGACTACTATATACTAAAAACCTCAGAAATGGGCAATTAAGGAAGGAACTTATGGTATGCAAACTATTGTACAGAGAAAAAAGTAAGATTGAAATACTTCTTGGCCAAGCGCTGGACCTCCCTAAACATCTCGAGTTTCTTCACTGTGGCAGCTTCACTTCTGGCAGGGAAAAGCTGCAAATCAAAGATGCTGTAAAGTTCACTTAGGAGCCACAACCAGCTATGCTCGGGGCTTACTCACAACTCTGTGCTCAGGAATCTCACCAACCATAAAGAGTCAGCTGACTGGGCTGAAGAGGTATCTCAGGGGTAGAGGGCACATGTCTCACATGTGCAAGGCGTGAGTTCAATCCCTAGCACAAGTCGCTCCACCCTTAGCACCATCAAAGTAGCCTCGATGGCCATCAGCACCAGGGGGCCAAGCAGCATCACTCTGCCAGGTCCTGGCCCTGAACCTAGCTTAGGGCTTAGGCCCAGATTGGCACTCAAGGATCTGGTGGTGATCCCAGGGACCAAGTGTATTGCTGGGGCCCAAACCCAGGTTGTCCATGTTCTAGGAAAGAGCCTTACATGCTGTGTTATCTCACTGGCACTAATATGATGGTATTTTATTTGATTGGTTTGGGGCCACACCCAGCAAAGCTCAGGGCTTACTTCTTACCATCTCTCTCTAGCCCTAGAGAATCACTTCTTAGAGTGAAAAAGTAAGAATCAGAGATGTGGCTAAGGGTAAGACTACCTGTTTTCTTCCCTTTCACTGTATGTGTGTGTGGTCTCCTCCCCCACCTCCTTCTCTCCCTCCCTCCCTCCCTCCCTCTCTCTCTGTCCCCTTGCCACCTCTCTCACTCTCTCTCTCCCTCACACACACCCCTCTTCTGTTTTCTTCTAACTATTCTGAATCAAATCGATAAAAATGATTATGAACAAATTGAACAACTACTAACTAGCTAATCATGGATCACTACCCTGTAACACAATTAATAGTTGACAAGGCATCACTTCTTTTTTTCACTTATACACTGAAAACTCCTTATTTTAAAATACCCAACTCAAACCTCTTACCTGAAATCCAGACCCAGCTATTACTAATTACTGCCACTGAAAATTCTACAAGCACCTCATATTTGATATGTCAAAACCTGAACTCCCTATCACCCCCCATTCTGTACTTTCTCTAACCCTAAATCTTCCTCATCTCCCCACTTTTAGTTAAAGGGAAGTCCATCCTTCCACACAGTTTTACTATTTCCACCACATGCTGCATACAAATCCTTCAACATTATTATACCCTCTCTTAATATCTACACACAATGTCAGACTACCTCTCATTATCTGTGCCTTGGATTATTTCAATAATCTGCTGAGTTCCTCCCTTCAGCTTCTGCACCCTTTCCTATATTTTCAATTACAGAAGCCTAAATGATTCCATTAAATAGTAAATCTATGGTATGCCTCTATTCAAAACTCTTTAGCCAGTGTCACGAGGAAATAAAGGTATAATTTTTAAAATGATCTGCAAGACTGTATAATTTGGCCACTTGTTTACTCTGGATTAGAAACACTACTTAGTACGTTTGCAAGTCAAGTTCCTACTTTAGGACTGCTGTATTGTTACCACTGTATGGAAGGAATCTTCACTCCAGTCCCTCAATATCATGACTGAGCGCTGGTTCTTTCACCTTCGTCATGTTTTTGTTCTCAGTGAGAATGTTCTTTTAAACTTATGCTTTCCCAGTCTCCACTGCTCTCTGTCCTCTGTCTCTGCTCATTATATTTGATCGACAATAACCATCTGGAAGCCCATAACAGAGAAACTATTAACTGTTTACTCACTACACTTATAATATTTAGAATGAGAGCATGTGAAGATTATTCTATTATTTGCTGTTAATCACATGAGAAAATACTTTGTGGCAAAAACTAAGTTTTAATGCTACAGGCACATCATGCATCAATTAACAATGGAGAAATGCTCTAAGAAAGACATTTTTAGATAATTTTGTCCTTGTGTGAACATCATCAATGTAATGACCCAAACTGGTACCTATGCCACACCTAGACTAGACAGGAAAAGTCTACTGGGAGCACTAATGTATGGTCCCATAGTCTCAGGTTCACAAAAAAATCCCAACAAGCACTGCATGACTGTGTATGAAAGTAACAGAACTTCACGATTAGTCATGATTCAGAGCTAGACTTGAATTATAAGACTGGCTCTAGAAGGTTATGTGATTTTTTGGGAAAGTTTCCCGTAACTCCTCTATAAGCCATGATATGGTTATCTGAAAAGTAATAATGCTATTTATTAACTTCAAATGTCTATAGGGACTAATAACTGGGTAGAAATCTATATGAGTGCTAAGAAAGAGACCTAACCCAGGAGTGATAAAATAAAGCCTATGAAGCTAAATTTGCCCTGCTTTTGTAAATATTTAGTGGAGCATAGCCATGCCTACTCATTTGTGTGCTGGCTCTTACTCATTCCACTCCACAATGGCAGTGTAGAGTCACTGTAAGACACAGTATATGGCCTACTGGCCATCTAGCTATATATAGAAAAAGTTTGCCGATCCCTAACCCAGACAACAGTATGTAGCTTAGTGGGTGCCAGACATCATCATTTATGTCAATATAGATCTTCAAGTATGTTTTCTAAGTCTCCAAATGATGAGACTAGAAAATTTGTTTCCGTAAGACTTAATTTAATACAGAATACAATCCTTTTCATATTAAAATAGAGATAAGACCCCCTAATTGTAATGCACAACCCTTTTAAGAATATTGCTAAATTTTTGAGACACTCTGATGGCACATTATAGGAAGGGATATTTTAATTCTCAAAGCAATAAATTCATCTTTATTTTTTATAAGAAAGTCAATCCTATATCACATAGTCTAATTCAAAGCATTTCTAAGGAGAGAAAGGGAAAGGTTGTCTGGGAATAATAATGCACAAAAGCAAATAAATAATTATGACACAAGGATGGTGCAGAGAAATAGTGCGGTAGGTAGGGTTCTTGCCCTGCACACTGCTAACCTGGGTTTGATCCCTGGCATGCCATAAGGTTCCCCGAGTCCCACCAGGCATGATCCCTTAGCACAGAGCCAAGAGTAAGCTCTCAGTGCAGTGGGTGTGGCTCAAAAAAAAAAAAAAAACCACAGACTTACAGTGAAAAACTTTAAATTCTAAGTACTGGTAACAAACTGAACTTTTTATAAAAAGATACTGGCAAATATACAGTAAAGAATAATAATGAAATAGAACATTTCAGAGTACAAGTTTTAACTTAGTAGCCTAATAAACATATTTTGTCATTAAGTATGAATATTGTCAGCCTGCCCTCTGCCAGTATCACTCGCAAGCGAATGAAAACAAAAGAGTGGAACCTGGGAGAAAGACTTCTAAACCCAACCCTGGCTCACTTGTGATATAACCTGGGATATCGCCACTTGAAGATGGGGAGGATAAATCCACCCTGATGTCTGAAAATTAAAATCCAATATAAAAACGTGAGTTTTGAAAGAAAAATAACTTTATGAATCCAAAATACCCATTTTTGTAAAAGGACTTGAAAGAAGGAGGGGAAAAAAATCGCTTAAATCAAAAATTTCTATTCAAATTCTGCTATAGGAAGGTACCAAGTTGTAGGCAGCTATCATTTCTCAATAAGTCCAACATCAAGATATTTCTCATAAAGGGTGTTAGGAGATCCGTCCAGGATGGGAGATGCATGCTGAAAGTAGACTATAGACCGACCAAACATGATTGCCACTCAGTTCCTCTTTTTCAAACCACAGCACCCAAAAGTAGAAAGAAAACAAAAGGGAATGCCCTGCCACAGAGGAAGGGTGGGATCGGGGGATGGGGGTGGGAGGGATACTGCGATTAGGGGTGGTGGAGAATGGGTACTGGTGGAGGGATGGGTACTCGATCACTGTATAACTGAGACCTAAGCACAAAAATTTGTAAGTCTACAACTGTACCTCATGGTGTTTCACTAATAAAAAAAAAAAGGTATTTCTCAGTTAAAAGAGAAACTATTGGGGGCCAGAGAGATAGTAGAGATAGTACAGCATGTAGGGTGTTTGCCTTGCACACAGTCGACCTGGGTTTGATTCCCGGCATCCCATATGGTCTCCTGAGCACCACCTGGAGTAACCCCTGAGCATCACCAGGTGTGACCTCAAAAAGCAGAGAAAGAGAGAGAGAGAGAAAGAGAGAGAGAGAGTGGCAGTGAGAGAGGGTTTATTCTATACTTGGACAAGATACGACAGCTGGCATTTAGAGGCCTAACGAATGGAAAAAGATAGTTTACCTACTAGGTTTTTACCTAGCTAGTTAAGATTTAAAAAAAAAAAAGGTAAAGGAATAACAGATTACCTCCTATCTCACACTCTTAAATTTTTTCTCTGTATTTACTTGGTATAATATGCATAACCAAATTCTATTAAAATACTAAAGGGGCTGGAGAGATAGCACAGCATGTAGGGCCTTTGCCTTGCACGCGGCCAACCCGGGTTCGATTCCCAGCAACCCATATGGTCCCCTGAGCAGTGCCAGGTGTAACTCCTGAGTGCAGAGCCAGGAGTAACTCTTGTGCATTGTCAGGTGTGACCCAAAAAGCAAAAAAATAAATAAATAAAATAAAAAAATAAAATTACTTTTAATACTGTATCACTATTACCCTGGTAAAACATTTTAAAGTTTCTTTAAAATACCATTATCAGTTGGGTGGGGCTGGAGTGATAGTATAGCAAGTAGGGCTCTTGCCCTGCACAAGGCTGACCCAGGTACAACATGTGTTACTCCAAATGGACTCAAGCCCTGCTAACAGTGATCCAGCACAGAGCTATGAGTAAGCCCTAAACACAACCAGGTGTGGCCCAAAACCCAAAAATAACATTAGAGCCAAAGAGATAGTTCACCAGGTAAGGGCCTTATACTCAGTTGACCCGGGTTTCATCCCTGAGAGCAGAGCCATGGGTAACCCCTAAGCAATCAGGTGTGGCCCAAAATCGAAAACCAAAACCAAACCCTAAATGAAATTATGGAAATTTCTGGCATAATATGAGCAGCATTTCCCACAAACTTATACTGGTCACCACAATATATAATGCTACCATAAAATATAATGCTCTTACCTTGTTCCTCACTTCCTTCCTTACAAAGACTAGAGCTCTGGCCCAGACTCAAACTGATATCATCAGAAGTCTTAGCAGTGTCCGTATCTCCTAAAAAAGTTAAGGGAAATATGTAAAGGCATTATGTTTCAATTAAAGACTATACAGTGTGGAATAACAAGGATATTATTCTAGGAATAATATATATCTAGGAATATAATAGACATCCATTAATTAATGCACTTTTTTAAAGATGTTCAAAGTAAGTGGGGAGTATCATGAATTGTCAGACCACATAACTATTCTCATAACAGCACAAATCATGCTATGTCTTTAAATGAAGCAATTTTAAAAAGCAAATCACGCTTTTTTGTTCCTGGAGCGATAGCACAGCGGGTAGGGCGTTCGCCTTACACGCGGCCAACATGGCCGACCCGAGTTCGATTCCTCCGCCCCTCTCGGAGAGCCCGGCAAGCTACCGAGAGTATTCGAAATGCCAGACACAGTAACAACAAAGTCTCCAATGGAGACGTTACTGGGCCCGCTCGAGCAAATCGACGATCAACGGGGGGCCTTTACCTTTACCTTTACCTTTTTGTTCCTCAAGATCACCATCCACCCCCCGGGTTAGGAGGCCCCACACAAAGTGGTGGGCTAAGCTAGAGCTAGCCACCCTGGCTTGGCTCCACCCAGCCCCATCCCAAGAAACAGAAGCAATGGGGCAGTTTGCTCCTGAAGATCACTGCCTCGTCCCTGGTTAGGAAACTGAAGTGGTAACCAAGTCTTCCCAAAAACAAAACCCCAAGCCCAGATGATTCACTAGTGAATTCTTTCAAACCTTTACAGAAGACTTATTGCCAATCCTTTCCAGGCTGGTCCAACAAACTGAACAAACACAAACATTCCCAAACAGTTTCTAGAAGGCAAACATCACTCTGATACCAAAAGCAGACAGAATTACAGGCTAATATTCTTGATAAACACAGATGCAAAGATCCTCAATAAAATATTAACAGAATCCAACAACTCATCAATGAGGTCATATACCGTGACCAAGTAGGATTCAGCCCAGGGATGCAAGGACAGTTTAACATACACAAGTCAATCAACATAATATACCGTATCAGCAAGGGGGGAAAAAAAATCATATGATCTTATCAATAGTTGCAGAGAAAGCATTTGACAAGATCCAGTACACACTGATGATAAAAACTCCCAAAAAAACAGGAACTGAAGGAACTTTCCTCAATATAATCAAAGCCATTTACACAAGATCATAGCAAACATTATATTCAGTGGAGGGAAAAACTAAAAGCCTTCCTTGTAAGATCAGGCACAAGACAAGGATGCCCACTATCGTCATTACTACCAATAGAAATTAGGCAAGGAAATGATATTAAGGGCATCCAGATAGGAAAAGAAGAAGTCAAGCTCTCATCATTTACAGGTGACATGATACTCTTATTTTTTAAAAAACCTAAAGACTACAAAAAAAGTTCTCAGAAACAACAGATTTGTAAAGTGGCAGGCTACAAAATTAATATGCAAAAAATCCATGGTTTTCTATTAATTTGTGGAAGTCCATGATTTAATATTCAAAAGCCTACTGTTTTCCTACGTACAGATAATGAAAGAGAAGAGATATTTTAAAAATCCTATTCACAATTGTGCCTCAGAAAATCAATTAACTCAAAATCAGCTTAAGAGGTGAAAGACCAATACAAAGAAAATTATTAAAAAAAAAAAACACTTCAAGAAATAAAAGAGATCATGAGGAAATAGAAACACATTCCCTGCCATGGATTAGGAGAATTAATAACATTAAAATGGCAATACACCACAAAATTGAATTGTACAAATTCAATATAGTTCATATAGAGATATACCCAAGACATTTTTCAAAGAAATGTGTCAAACATTCCTGAAATTCATATGGAACAACACCCCCAACACCCAGAATAGCTAAAACAATCCTTGGGAAAAAGATAGAAGGCATCATCTTTCCCCAACTTCAAATTGTACTACAAAATGGTAGTAATTAAACCAACATGGTATTGGAATAAAGACAGACACTCAGAGATCAATGGAACAGAGTTTTTGAATATCTGAAGACAGACCCTCAAGTTTGATCAGTTAAAGGTAAGGTAAAGGTAAAGGCCCTCCCGTTGATCGTCGATTTGCTCGAGCGGACCCAGTAATGTCTCCATTGGAGACTTTGTTGTTACTGTGTCTGGCATATCGAATACTCTCGGTAGCTTGCCGGGCTCTCCGAGAGGGGCGGAGGAATCGAACTCGGGTCGGCCATGTTGGCCGCTTGTAAGGCGAACACCCTACCCGCTGTGCTATCACTCCGGTTGATCAGTTAATTTTTGATAAAGGAACGAAAGATATGAATTGTAGCAATGAAAGCTTTTTCAACAAGTGGTGGTGGGAAAACTGGTTAGCTACAATCAAAACAATAAACTCAGACCTCTTTCTAGCCCCATGCACAAAAGTCAAATCAGAAGGAATTAAAGACCTTGATATCAGACATGAATTCATAAGGTATATAAAGGAAAACACAGGCAGAAATCTCCATGACATTAAAGCTAAAGTCATCTTCAAGGATGAAACATCACTGACCAAGCAAACATCACTGACCAAGTGAAAGCAAAGATAAACAAATGGGACTAAAGTGAACTAAGAAACTTCTGCACCTCAAAGGAAATGATGGCCAGTACACAAAAGCAGCCCACAGAATGGAAAAAATTATTTTTTTCCACTTTCCTCAACATTCATCTGATAAAGGCTACTATCTAAGATATACAAGGCACTTAAGGAATTTGATGAGAAAAAAACATCCAACCCCATCAAAAACGGGGAGAAGAGATGAGCAGAAACTTCCTCAAAGAAGAAATACAAATGGCCAAAAGCACATGAGAAAAAATGCTCTACATCACTAGTTATTAGGGAGATGCAAATCAAACAACAATGGGTATCATCCCATGCCACAGAGACTGGCACACATCAAGCTAGGGCATGGAAGGAGGGAGAAATAGACTCTCATTTACCACTGGTGGGAATATCAACTGACCCAGCCTTTTTAGAAAACAATACGGACATTCCACAAAAAAACTAAAAATTGAGCTTTCATCTGACCCAGCAATACCATTCCTCGGAATATACCCTAGGGGCCCAAAATCACAATGCAGAAAATTGTGTTTCTGCACTCCTGTGTTCATTGCAACACTATTCACAATAGCCAGAATCTGGAAAGAATCCAACTGCCAAAGAAAAGACGAGTGGATAAAGAAACTATGGTACAATTACACAATGGAACACTATGTAGCTACTAGGTAAAAAATGAATTTATGAAATTTGCTTATACACGGATGAACATGCATATCATGCTGAGTGAAATGAATCTGAGGGAGATGGATAGACACAGAATGATCGCACTCATCTGCAGGATATGAAAAAAAAATATTATGAGAACAGATAATAGACAAGAGTACCAAGAGAACTGATCCATGGGAGGAAGCTTGACACAGGGCAGGGGGTGGAGAAGCATAGTTTGGACAGAGATAAGACCACTAAGACAATGGTAGTTGAAAATTATCACTCTGAACGAGAACTGGGTGCTAAAGGGAGGTAAAGTGCTATACATGATTCTCTTTCAGGAACAGTACTGCCAACAATGCCAAGAAGGAAAAAAGGGCGGGTGGGAGGAAGGGCGGGAACCAAGAAAGAAAGAAGAAAGTGTCTGCCACAGAGGCAGGCTAGGGGGAGGGAAAAGGAAACTGGGGACATGGGTGGTGGGAAACGTATACTGGTTAAGAGAAGGGTGTTAGAACATTGTATGACTGATACCCAATCATCAACAACTTTGTAACTGTGTATCTCACAGTGATTCAATTCAAAAAAAGGAAACGCAATTTATGTAATAATAATGAGAAAATACCAATTTCCTTCCCACAGAAATTTAGTAAGTTGAAAAACTATAAGGTATAATAATATGAATTTGTCTCAAGTAGATTTACGGAATAAATAATAAATTTACAGAATAATATATACAGGGAAAACCTTATTTATTTGCATCCAATTTAAAGTTTTCCATAATAAAGCATTCCACCTTCCATGGTCCTTCCGAAGCCCATTAAAGTACGTTTCTCAAAGAAGTTTATTACAGATCAAAACTTAGTTCATGCAGTGTTATATAAATGATCAAATATCTGTATAAAATTTAGTAGATGAAAGAATATTATTTAAATCGAGTGACTTTTAGAAAAAGACTTTGTCATAAAGCAAATTCAAGAGTGATTTTTTCCATTACATGTGTATATATCATATTCGATTATCTTTATTACAACCAAAAATGAAATTGAAGATCAAAGGCAAGTTTCAAGTTAGCTCGTATCTACCTTTGATAGTTGCTGCTGTCCCAAGACGAGAGGAACCAGATCCAATCTGCAATCACAGAACAAATAAAACTAGGTAAACTGCTGGCAATGACTAGCAATAAAAATTAGTAAGGCTATCACATTATCAAAACAGATTATCACTACATAAATACAGACTAAGCATGCTATTTTATTTTTAATGTATTCAGTTCTCTTGATTTTATTTATTTAAATTTTCTTTCAGGCACACTGGCATACAGTACTGTTAATGATAGGGTTTCGTACATAACACATTCCTGCATCAGAAAGCCGACTTCCCTCTCCACTGTTCCAGTGTTCCTCTATCTCCTGACCCCCTTCCCTTTCCCGTTATTTTTAGAGCCACATAACCTGCTGAGTGTGGATTATGCTGCTTTCCTATCGGAGGCACAATGGGACAGTGAGTCCCTTTCTACTATCAGGATAAATGGAGCCAGGAACAGAATGTCCTTTCCTCAAAAAATGCTGGTCATATAATTACTATCAATTTACATATACATAATATATATAAAATACATGTGTGCATATATATATGTGTGTATATATATGCATACATATATATACAAAATCACATCATGACATATTCATGGTATAAATTGAAGGAGAACAATCTTACTGTCTGTCAGACAGTGTTTCAGCATGTATTTTTCTGAGTTCCAGACCAAGCCCACTGGCATACTGCTGACATCTTTAAAACAAATTAAAAATTAAAATACTCACTAAAAATGTTAGCAAAAACTGTGAACAGAAAATCAAAAAAAAAATCAACATACACTGAACTTTCAGTTCTTATATTCATAATGTTTTAAAATCTTCCTAAATTTTCACAGCCATCATTTATTATACTGCTATAAAAATCAAGTAGTACCACATCTATGAAAATGCAGGGGAACAAACAGAAATCTAAAGAATTCTAGACCTGTTTTCAAGGGACTCAAGATTAAAACAAGCAAATTTAGTATCTGAGAATGAAATTAAGAACATTCGTATAATACTTTCTATTTTATCAAATATTCAATAGGTGTATGTACAAGAAATTGGCTCAAAATACAGGCTACTATCAACTCTGAAAAACACAAATGACTGATGATCTGTCTGGCAATTAAATGAGTGTGTGAATGCACGCAGGCACAGGCGCACGCGCACGCACATGTATGTATGTATACAAATACACTGAAATGTTCATACTTAAAGATACTGGACCAGAGAGATGGCTCAACAGGCTGAGCAAAAACTCTCCACGCAGGAGGCCCTGCCCGATCTTCAGCACCACACGGTCCCCTGAGCACAATCAGGGCGAAACCCCCATGCACAGAGCCAGAACTGTTCCCAAGCACCACAGAGTGTGGCCCCAACCCCCCACTCCATCCCAAGTGAAATAATACCCCAACTGAAATAAAGAATGCCTATCTTACTCTGTATGAAAGTTACCTTCAGTAAAAAAAGAAGTAAATAAGCATACATACACAGGCTTAAAAGTACTAAGAAACTCCTGACACAGCCAGGTTAAAAATCAGCTCTGCAATATTTTTTGAACTATTTCTTTTTCCTTAGCTATGTTCCCTTTTAGGCGCTGCAATTAGCATGGGGGGACCTTGGGGATTCCCCAGGCAGTGCTTCAGGGCTACTTCCAGCTCTATGCTTAGGAGTCACACCAGGCATGGAATGGAATCCTGAAGCACTGGGGAAGTCTGGATGTGCTCGGTGCATTGAGTGATCTCTCTGCCCCCGACCCAAAAAACATTTTACTGACAAAGAAAGCTTCATTTTTCAAGCTAAAGAGATAGATCACAGGGCTAGAGCACATGTTTCTGCATCCAGAAACTCTGGGTTTGATCCCCAGCATGGCATGGCCCCCGAAACACAGACTTGGGTATAGCCCCCAAGCACCAAGTCAGGAGTGACCCTCAAGCAGATATGGTCTAAAAACAAAACAAACATTCCATTTTTAACATGCTTGTTAAGACAACCTATAGAACATTTGCTCTATTTCAACTAGAATAATAAACTCAGGACTGCTAAATAGACATTTTAAAACAAGCAAACAAAAATAATAACCATTTAAGAATTAAAAAAAAAAACTTTTTAAAAAATTAAAAACTTCTCAATATAGCACAGCGGGTAGGGCGTTCGCCTTACAAGCGGCCAACATGGCCGACCCGAGTTCGATTCCTCCGCCCCTCTCGGAGAGCCCGGCAAGCTACCGAGAGTATTCGATATGCCAGACACAGTAACAACAAAGTCTCCAATGGAGACGTTACTGGGCCCGCTCGAGCAAATCGACGATCAACGGGAGGGGCCTTTACTTTACTTACTTATAGGTATGATAGATAGCTGTTTGCTCAAAGTCTCAAAGTGTCCCCTTTTTCCATCCTTGCCAAGTCTCCCACTTCATTCAGAGGTTGGGTTTTTATCTTTTGACCTGTGAAAAGTGGGCCCTATATCTGGTCCAGTTCTGGCCAATAATGATAAGAGAGAGCCTGCTGGAGGCTTCAGGGAAAGACCTTTCATGTCTAGAAAGAGGACCAAAGACAAAATTCTCCACCCCCACATTCCTCACTTTTCAGTAGGCTTGTGATTGAAGCTTCTGTGTTCATCCTGTAACCCTAAAAGAAAAAGTCAAAAGAACTATGGAAATGTCAACCCACAGCCGGACATCACTGAGCTGCAGAACAAATGTCACACGGCCACCTCCAGATGTAGGTGATAAACTCCCATTTCTTCAAGTTGCTTAATTTAGTCCAGTTATATTACTTGTTCACAAAAGCATTCTGAATGGATACAATGAATAGTTATATTTTAGACTGCATGCATTTTGTATTATTTAAGTTTATGTAAACGTTAGGATTATTTAAGTAAACGTTATTTAAGTAAACGTTAGGATTATTTACATGTGAAACAACACAGGATTGAGAATATAAACTACTGAGCACGCATGCTCTCTCTCTCTCTTTCTTTCTTTCTTTCTCTTTCTCTCTCTCTCTCTCTCTCTCTCTCTCTCTCACACACACACACACACACACAAGAATTCAATGAATTCCCCCAAATGTCACTATAGAAAAACACTTAACGGTTTTAGCATTCATGATATATTCAATAGAGACTCAAGTCCCAAGCAGCATGTACACTAAAATAGTACTCTGTTTAAAGAAGGATTTTTAAATTATGACATGAGTAATTTTTTTCTTGTTATTTTCCACAATGTACTAATTTTTTTTCTTTCACAGTGGTGGGACTCGAATGCAGGGCCACCCCCCCCCGCCCACACACACACACACACACACAACCAATATTTAGCACTAAGCTACAAGCCAAGCCCCTCACTATCATTTTTTAAAAAGCAAACACATTTTTTTTTATTTATCATTTTTTTTTATTAGTGAAACACCATGAAGTATACTTATAGACTCACAAATTTTTGTGCTTGGGTTTCAGTTATACAATGATCAAGTACCCATCCCTCCACCAGTGCCCATCCTCCCCCACCACGGGTCCTATCATCCCTCCGACCCCCCATCCTCCCCCCCCCCCCCCCCCGTCCCACCCTGCCGCTGTGGCAGGGCATTCCTCCCTGTTCTCTCTCTCTTCTTTTGGGTACTGTGTTTTGCCAGAGAGGCATTGAGTGGCAGTCATGTTTGGTCTATAGACCACTTTTAGCATGTCTCTCCCACCCTGGGAGGGTCTTCACAACACCCTTTATTTGGTGCTCTCTTCTCTATCTGAGCTTCCTTCTCACCTAGCACATGTGGCTGGCCTTCAAGTCATGGAGCAAAATTCCTGGTACTAATCTGAGCCCTTCCTGGGTGTTAGTCTCCCGTTTTGTTGCTTTATGTTCCCCAGATGAATGCAATCTTTCTGTGTCTATCCTGCTCTTTCTGACTCATTTCGCTTAACATGATACTTCCCATGTAGTACCACTTGTATGTAAATTTCATAACTTCATCTTTTCTAACAGCTACATAGTACTCCATTGTGTAAATGTACCAAAGCTTCTTTAACCAGTCATCTGTTCTCGGGCACTCAGGTTTTTTCCAGATTTTGGCTATTGTAAAGAGTGCTGCAATGAACAAACAATTGCAGATGTCACTTCGACTATACATTTTTGCCTCTCTGGGATATATTCCCAGGAGTGCTATAGCTGGGTCAAATGGGAGATCGAATTCTAATTTTTTGAGAATGCAAACACATTTTTAAACGGAAAAAAAAATTTTAATGGACTATTCAGGCACATTGGGTGAAGATTTTTACTTTAAGAGGTATGTGCACTAAAATGGTTCAGTACTTCTGTGAGCCTCAGGTTTGATCCCCAGCACAGCACGTGCCGGGAGCAACTCCTGAGCCCCTACAAATATGACCCAAAAACAAAACAAAAAAAGAAATAACCACTGTTTGTCAGTACTGATACTATCTCTAACAATATACAAAAGTCTAATTCTACTTCACTTGAACCTCCCTAATGGATAACAGTAATAATTTCTTTTATTTCAACCATTTCTTTTATTTCGAAAATAATTAAACGGAAACTACCACAGTTCACCAACAGAACAGCCCCAAATATTTCCCCATCTGCACTCAAGTTCACATTTTAAGGAAAACTAAAGTAAGCACCCTATGCATTTATGAGAAGAGATACTTAAACTACATTCAGGATGGGATTCCGTCCCTCAACTGAGCAGAGCAAGTTCTAACCAGCAGGATGCCCAAAGAGAATTTTCAAACTGGCGACTGATCTGTCCTTTAACTTGTTCTACACAAAAACAGGGTGTAGAAAGACATGGCTCTCCAAAGGATTATTGGAATAATTTAGGCTTAGTCCCCACAGTAGTGGGATAATGCCAATTACCCTAGGGACTAAGCAGCAGTTTACAGAGAATAGAAAACATGCAACCATACCTAAAAACACTCATTTCATTCTGTACGGAGCTGGAAAAAAGCACAAGGCCAGCAAAAAAGCAGAATCAAGGATAGCAGCAGAGTTCTTCCAGCTGGCATTGCAAAAACTGAAGCTTGAGAATTTCCACATATGTTTTAAAACAAAGTAGAAAAAACTCCAACATTTCCCAGTATTTGTTCTATAGTACACTCAGTCCTAAATGAATCTTACTGCAAAAATCATTTGAGGGGCTGAAGCAACAGTACAGCAGGTAGGGCACTTGTCTTAGTAAGCAGCCAACCCAGGTAGAATCCCTAGAACCCATATGGTGCCCTGAGCCCTGCCAAGAGTGATCCCTAAGTGCAGAGCCAGGAGTAAACCCTGAGCACCCCAGGGTATGGCCAAAAGTTAAAGGGTTAATTTAAAAAATCATTCGAGGTACCCAAGTGATAATGCAGCGGGTAGGGTGTTTGACTTGCACGAGGCCAACCAGGTTCAATTTCCAGTATCCCATATGATCCCGAGTACCGCAAGGACTAATTCCTGAGTGCAAAGCCAGAAGTAACCAGTAACCCCTGTGTATCACCAGGTGTGACCCAAAAAGCAAAAAAAAAAAAAAAAAAAAAAAAAAAAAGCCATTTGAGATTTAAATCATGAGACACAACTCAAATAAAAATGCATCTTTAAAGTTTTTTGATTCACAGAATACAGTGATTTTCACCTTAGTACAACGCTGACAATGTGGACTAGCAGAATACAGTGGGGTAAAGTCAGGAGAATTACGTACGTTATCTGAATGAGTCAAGTCTGACTATTTCACAGTTCACTGTCTATGTACAGTTAAGGATAATTAAAAATCATTAACTGGAAATCAGCTATACACATGGCATGTGTTAGACAATTAGAAAAAAAGAAGGAAAAATCTACTCTGTAGAGGCTTATAAATTGCCCACACATTATCATACACCAAAAACAACATGCTAAATAAAAAAAAAAAAACACAAGTGCTTCATCTGCAAAAAGGCAGCACTACAAGGTCCTTGAAAAATGTTGAGGAATAGGGGATGGTTGAGAACAAGACTTTAGGTTAGACCAGAAAATAAAGAGGACTAAGTCTCTGACCCAGAAAGGAGGAAGCAGAGGAAAGGGCAACTCTGGCCCACAAGCAGCACAGTCTAACAGCAAGAAGACTGAAGGGGAAATCCAGAAGTGAGGCCAAGCCTAGAACATAGCAAAGAGTCAGCTGTCAACTTGGATGTGAAGGAAGGGCTTATATAATGACCACTGAAACCATGGTTATCTAAAGTTCTACAAAGAGAAGATTTAAGAGAACATTTAAGATTTCTTGCTAAATTGCTGTCTTGTAGAGCTTAGAGAATTTTACTGAAGTAATGTCCGGCTGAGAAGGCAAACTCGAGTAACTGGGACTTGGATTAGCGTGGGAGATGTTTAGGATCAAAGAGAGATAGATCGGCAAAGACCCAGCTGAGGTTAGAATGAGAGTACATTAGCAGATGTTAGCCAAATTTTGAAATAATATTTTCAGAGTTGCTATTTTAAAATTCAAAGCTAAAGGAACATGGGCCAGAACGATAGCATAGTGGGTAGGGCCTTGCATGTGGCCAACCCAGGTTCGATTCCTCCACCCCTCTCAGAGAGGCCGGCAAGCTACCCAGAGTATTCCGCCCACACGGCAAAGCCTGGCAAGCTACCTGTGACGTATCTGATATGCCAAAAGCAATAACAACAAAGTCTCACAATGGAGACTGGTGCCCACTCAAGCAAATCGATGAACAATGGGGGGACAGACAGACAGATATTTTTACCGTATTTAAGCTAGGTAAATTTTTAAACCATTTTTGAACATTTCTCCAATATATATAATGTGAAGGCAAGTGAGAGTGTGCAAACTAGAAGCTAATTTTTTTCTTCTTAATTAATCTTTTGTTTTTAATTGAATCATTGTGAATTACAAAGTTGCAAAGTTATTCATGACTGAGTTTCAGGCATACAATATTTCAACATCAGTCCCTTCACCATTGTCCACATTCCCCCACCAATGTTCCTAGTTTCACTCCTGCCCCTCCCCCTGCCTCCATGGCATGCAAGCACTATATTCTTTTTTCTTCTTCTATTTTCCCTTCTTTATTTTTTCCTTTTAAGCACACTAGTTCACCTCCTTTCAGCACCCAGTTCTCATCCAGTGACCACTTCCTTCTGCCATTGTCCTACGTGGTGCCTTCCCTACCTATCCCTCCTCAATTCCCATTGGCAAGCTTCCTACTAAGAACAAGCCCTCCTGCTCTTCATTTCTAATGCCTTTGGGCATTAGTTATTCCCCACTTTATTTCTTTGTATCCCACATATACTGAGATCATTCTGTGTCTGTCCCTCTCCCTCTGACTCATTTCATTCAGCATGACACTTTTTCAATCCATCCATGTATCAGCAAATTGCACGATTTGATCTTTTCTTACTGCCAAGTAGTAATCCACTGTGTATATGAACTACAGCTTGTTTATCCAGTCATCTGTTCTTGGGCACTTGGGTTGCTTCCAGACTTGGGCTATTGTGAATAGTGCTGCAGTGAACTTTCCTGCATTGTGGTTTGGGACTCTTGGGGTAAATTTCCAGGAGTGGAATTAATGGGTTGTATAAAAGCTAAAGTTCTAATTTTTTGAGGAATGTCCATATCCATATTGTCTTCCAAAAAGGCTGGACCAACTGACATTCCCAGCAGTAAACGAGGGCCTCTTTTCAGAGTAAAAATTTTTGTTCATTTTTGTTTGCTAGTTTGTTTTTGTTTTGGCTTTGGGGCTACACCCAGCAGTGGTCAGGGCTTACTCCCAACTCTGCACTCAGGGATTACTCCTGGCAGGCTCAGGGAACCATATGGGGTGCCAGGGATTGAACTCAGGTTGGCCATTTGCAAGCACAGCTAGCACCTGAACCACTGTACAGCACCCACCTCTCAATCTAACTATCCCGGGGAAATGGGCATGTTGTACAAGCTGAATAAAAATGTACCTAATGTAAAAATTCAGGTAAATAAAAATACTGGGTCTGGGGGTAACTCAAAAGGCTAAAGGCATGATCAGCTAAGGACTGCCTGTTCCCCCACCACCACCAGGAATGACCCACATGCACTGAGTCAGGCTGTAGGCTCTGAGCACAGCCAGGTATGGATCAAAAACAAATAACAAAAGAATTCTTTTTTGATCATCAAGATAACCCCAAATAGCATCTTACTATTATGGAGAGGGGATACATGAGTCCAGTATGAGGATGAGGCAAAGGACGAAAGAAGACACAGGTAAATACCTGGTTGCTAGGATCTAAGCCAGCGTAAGAATTTCTTGAACTGCAACCAACTGGGGGTGTGGCCTCTCGAATGAACTCAGACATTTCAATCCCTCCACCGGGATCACTGGAGGGAAATGAAGAAAAAGAGAGCAACTGTTATTCTAACACAATGACCTTTTAATTATTAGCAGAATTATTACTTAAGTCACTTTTTTTCTACATCGCTATGGTATCCAGGTAACAGCAAAAATATTGATCATTCTCTTTTATAAATCTGATCATTTGTATTACTTTATAATGACTGAAATATTTTCAGGACTTGAAAAAAATCAGAAAACTTTCCCAACCTGTCTACACCAAATCCCGTATTAGAAGCTGACACGAGTTAAAATTACAGAAAACTAAATACTGCACATATGTTATGTGCCATACGATCACTCTAGCAAAGAGATGATTTGCCTTCTGCTATCAAAGAGTAAAAAGAAACTGGGCAGTTAAAACACAGAATTTAATCAGACTTTACACTCCCTCATCCTGCCAAGGGCACAGTCCAACTAGGGAGTCTGACACAATGAGGAGTGTGCAAGAGAACAGTTGTCCCAGACAAGCTGTTTTTATTAAAATTTTTAAGTTAACATACTTAACTGGATAATAACTTACTTGAAAGAACTGGAAACCGTTTAAATATATAGATGAGTTATGTTACAAGGCATAAATTAAAATAGCAAAATAATGCTAAATTGTACTAATAACTATTAGACAAGAGGGGAACATTTCAAAAACATGAGAAATTCACATATATTACATCTTAAAGATAATAGAAATCCCAAATTATGAGAAAATGTGAGATCAAATTTCAAAAATTTTTAATAATATTTCTGGTTAATACTTTGAAAGAAATCAATCCTAGATGCTATCATAACGCTTTTTGTTGACTGTGTTTTACTCATTCTCCTGGGTATACAGAATAAGTACTCAAAAATTTTAGCTATTATTATTTATCAGGAAAATAAGTGCTACCATTTATGCTGGATATCACAGAAGATATAAGCTATCCTGTTCATCCACCTAATGCTATGCTCTGGCAATAAAACAAAAGCCAAAATTCTTCTGGTGAACAATCTTATCCCAAACTCTTACACGGTCATGGGTACTGGTGACCCCACCACTCAGATTTAGGAGTGACCTCTACTAACCAAAGTCTCTCAGTGTAACCCAATTTCGTGGTCATAGAGATCAGTTGTAGGATACATGCACTGACCCAATTTGGCATGAGTTGATGTCCTAAAAGTGCTCCGTTTATGCTAGTCTTGATGTTATGAGAACTTAAGGCCTGGAGGTGCAGCAGCAATTTTCAACCATTCTGAGGGAGCCTACACACAAAGCTAACTAAAACCAATGAGCAACGCACAGCCAGGGGAACCAGGGTCATGAAATACTTGGAAGTTCTGCACCATGCCATTTTTGAAGTTCTGCACCATGCACACAGACTTCACAGTAATGTGAGCATCACTCAGTTTGAAAGGGGTATTCTGATATCTGCAGTAAAAAGATGTAGGGAAAAGTTCCTGTATACCTCCACTTCAATATTTACCACTATAGCTGTTTGAATTCTAATGCAATTTTGTTATTAACTGTCTCATAACTATCATATTACTTTCTGCCTAAGGGATCCTAACTAGAGACAGCTTACTACAGTTAACCTACACCCAGTAGTGAAAAATCAGCTTTTATAACTTGAATCAGCTTTTATAACTTGCCGCCCATTTATAAAAATAAAACATACTGGAATTGTTTCAAATTTGATGGCCAATTCAGCATATAAAGGTTGACGTGTGAGAAAAGTGTAATATGTTCGTGTTTGTTGGCCATTTGATATGAAATCATACAGGCTACACAAGCCAGAATGAGAAGTATTTATTTTTAAAATATTAAATATTCAGATGGCTATCACCAAACTAAATTAGTGGTGAGTAATAACTGACTGGCAATATTATGGTTATCTCTACTGACATGCTCTAAGTCAGATTTTACAGATCTTAGAAGCTAGAGACCACAGTAAGGTCTAAGGTATAAAATATTCAACACCACAGAAAAAAGCAAAACCGTCAGCTGGCCTGGTTTCTGTAACAATTTTACTGATATATAACTGCTGTGTATTTACCACCAAACAACTTAATCCATGAAATTCAGTATATTAAAATCAAGCAACCATCACAATAAATTTTATACTATTTCTATCACCTCAAAAAACAATCCCTTTAGCTATTGCTTCCTGACCCTCCCCATACAATCTTCACTTCCACCCTATGCAATCATTTATCTGCTTTTCATCTCAATAAACTAGCTTATTGTAGATGTTTGATGTAAATGAAATCAATCATATGAACTCATTTATAAATATTTATGAATGTTTGCTCCTTTTGCTCGAGCGGGCCCAGTAACGTCTCCATTGGAGACCTTGTTGTTACTGTGTCTGGCATATCGAATACTCTCGGTAGCTTGCCGGGCTCTCCGAGAGGGGCGGAGGAATCGAACTCGGGTCGGCCATGTTGGCCGCGTGTAAGGCGAACGCCCTACCCGCTGTGCTATCGCTCCAGCCCTTTTAACTTAGCATATTTTTCAATGTTCATTCAGATTGTAGCATGCATTAATGCTTTGTGGCCAAAAAAAAAATCCCTTTATTTATCTACTCATTAGTTATTGGACATTCTTGCTGACTTGTACACATCACTTCTGATAGAGCAAATCTAAATGATCATAATATGTAACTTTATTATCAATAACAAATAAAAACAACTATTTCAACAAATAATCGTTTTAGTAAATAAAAAAAGTATTTCTTTTATTTCAATCATAGGAACATATGCAATTTAGTTTCTCAATTAATATTCTCTCCCCTAAATCTAACATATAAATACTACATCTTCATTTCAGAGATTAAAAAATTAAAAAGCCAAACCATGTAAAAAGTTGCTCAAGACCAAAGAAGACTGAACAATGTAACTGAATCACTGGAATATGAAGCAAGGGTGGTCAAAGAGAAAAAAACAAAATTTACTCAGCATTCTCCAACGTGTGTTCACGTTTTCTGTTTTCTCACACACACTTGATTGTTGGAGTGTTAGCCAAAAGTGGTCAAGCCAAGATTTGAAAACCAGATAGATCCATACCAATCTCTAAAGCCAAGTCTAGGACAAGATCTAGGACAGATGCTGACTTTCAAACAGACATTGCTATTCTCTCTCGAGTTTAAAATCACATGTGCTAGAGCAAACACTAAGGACTGCGTGAATTGACATTGTCGGGTAGCACATTATTTAGTGTGGGGGAGCAGCCTGTGCATCACAGATATGAGAGCTCCTGACCTTTCGTCCACTAGGGGCCAGCACACATCACCTCATAGTGATAACGCAAAGTAACTACAAATATTGCCAGTGGTCTCCTGGGGGGGCAAAAGTCACCACTGCCCAGCTGAGCAACAATGGCCTGAATAGCGTACTCAATTTCAACACTGAGAAGAAAGAACAATTAAAGAAGCAAAACAGACGAACAGATGAAATAGGGGGAAATGAATGACCTCTTAAAAATAAATCCTTTAACAACTTTTAGGTACGTCTCTCCTCTACAAATTCAGACGCAGAACTATTAGTCAGCAACAGATGTCCTAATTATAGCTAAACATGTAAAACAGCTACATAAAAATCATCTTTATTATGAAGACTTGAAGATTTTTGGCAATGAAGATTTCAGCACATACCTGGAAAGTATAGTGGTCTACAATTCTCACAGAAGCAAAGCAATACACCAAATTCAGGGAATCTCTACCTTTATGCCTTAACTTCCCCATCTGTTAAAAAAAAAAAACCAGGTACAGGGAAAGGCAGAAAAGAAGAAAGGGGTCTAAACTGTATTAATAAAGGAGGCTTCGCCAGCCAATTTATTATTAGTATCATTAACTGCTAAAGCTTAAATAAAAAAAAAAAACTCCACAGCACCATTACAGTACTAAATTTACAAATCTAATTCATAGTACCATGACTTCCTAAGGGTATGAATAAATTAAAAAGTCCCTAAAAAGAATAAATCTTACCAAAATGTTTAGCCCAAAATTTACCTGCATATAGGTTCTGTGGATCTTGAGTTTATAATACTGCCATCATTACTTCCATGAGAAGAGAAAACAAAGTCTTCTTTGTTTTCAAATTTGTTTTCAAAAAAAAAAAAAACACCTTCAAAATATTGATATACAAATCCTAAAAGTCAATGTGCTCTTTTCCTCTCCTGAAACATTAGAGATGTAATACAAACATTAATGACTTTGAGTCCTCTAAGACTCAGATTTAATGAGCTCTTTTAAACTTCTACACGACAGCCAATGAAAACTACAGCTCAAGTAGCCCTACTATACTCATTCACTCATGCAGCAAACTGGTAACTGTATCTAACAGAATGATCTGTCACTGTCACTGTCACTGTCCTCCCACTGTTCATTGATTTGCTCGAGCGGGCCCAGTAACGTCTCCATTTTGAGACTTGTTACTGAGTTTGGCGGGCGAGATACTCTCGATAGCTTGCCAGGCTCTCCGAGAGGGGAGGAGAATCGAATCCAGCTCAGCCAAGCTCTAGAAATAAAAAGTATTTTTTATTCATTTGTTTTCCTTAGAACAGAACATAAGACCACAAGTAGCAGCATAGCTTTGTAGCACTGTCCTCCCATTGTTCATCAATATGCTTGAGTGGGCACCAGTAACATCTCCATTATGAGACTTGTTGTTACTGTTTTTGGCATATCGAATACGCCACAGGGAGCTTGCCAGGCTCTGCCGTGCAGGCGGGATACTCTCAGTAGCTTGCCGGGCTCTCCGAGAGGGACAGAGGAATCGAACCCAGTTCGGGCCGCATGCAAGGCAAACGCCCTACCCACTTTGCTATCATAATAAAAACTAGAAAAAGACAAGGATGTATGCCAACACTTTTTCAATTTAACCACGTGCTAGAATTCATACCAATAAACAAGTTAAACAAGAAGTGAAAGACAGGGTGGGCTGGGGAGATGGCTCAACAGGCTGGAGTGGAGGTCCACAATGGATCCCTGACACCACATGGTCCCGCCATGAGCACTGATAGAAGTTGGTACAGAGCACCATGGGGAGTGACTCCTCAAAAGCATAAAATTAGATAAGAAAATATGTAACTCTTATCATTTATTGAAAAATTGAGAAATAACCTATAAAGTTTCACCATTTAAAAGGACGTTTTAATAAAGTTCCTAGACACAAAGTAACAGGATCCATTTAAAGGAGAAAGCCAAAAACAGCACAGAAGTTTGATAATAGCATAAAAATTATTAAATGATTTGGCAAACAAAGTTATACAAGTGTTTTATGGAGAAACTATGAATCTTTATTGGAAGATGTTAAAGAAGATAAAATATTGTAAAGAATCATAAAGTGAATCTAAATATCCAATATAATCTCCACCCCCACTCCTACCACCCCAAATTCTAAGTTCTTGCAGACTTTGCCTGGCAAACTCTAAAGTTTTTATCAAAGAGTCAAGAATATCAAATCTACTCCTGAAAAAGAACAAGGTGAGAGGTTTGCCCCACAATATATCAGAAGTCATGTTATAAAGGTACAGCAACTAGGAGAACATGTAATGGTACAAGAATAGACAACTATAGATCAAAACAACAGGAAAGAAAGACCAGTAATATACCCACCCCAACAACTAGGACATATCACCAAGGAAAACAGTCCATTTAAAAGTTACTGAGTAAACCAGTTATTCATATTTTATCAAAGTTGATACCCTATCTGACACAGAAATTAAAATAATTTCAGGGTGCAGGAATGAAACTCAAGTGACAGAGCACACAGCTTTCACGTGTGAAGTCGTGGCTTTGATCTCAGGCACTACATGTCCTCTGAGCACCACTGGGTGTAGTTCTCCGACCAAGAAGCAAAATAAAATAAATCCATGTACAAGTGAAATGTCAAAACAAAAGAAAGGGGAATCTCTAGGAAAACTATATAGGATAATATCTTTGTGATTTCCACGTGGGAAATAATTTTTTAAGAAAGTCATTAGAATGCTAATTACAAAAAGGTTGCTATCATTGCACTTAATTTAAGAGTTCATGATAATCCTAAGAAATCCTAGGGAAAACATAATGACAAGTCAGAAACTGGGAGAAAAGACTTAATGAGTATTATCAATACAGAACTAGTATCCTAAACTTACTAGGAAAAATACTCAGTACTTACTAGGAAAAAGACTCAGTCACTGTCACTGTCTACCCGCTGTTCATCGATTTGCTCAAGTGGGCCCAGTAACGTCTCCATTGTGACACTTGTTACTGTGTTTAGCATATCAAATACGTCACGGGTAGCTTGCCAGGCTTTGCCATGCGGGTGAGATACTCTCGGTAGCTTGCTGGGCTTTCTGAGAGGGGTGGAGAAATCAAACCTGGGTCGGCCAAGTTAGCCGCGTGCAAGGCAAACACCCTAACCGCTGTGCTATCACTCCAGCCCACAGACTCAGTAGACAATACAAAAAAAAAAAAAAAAAAGACAACCGCAAAGAAAAATAAAACAAAATGTGGACACTGGAAAGAACAGAAAATCTAAAAGAACCACTTCTTTAAGCTCTTCATGAGGTCGGAGAGATGGTACATTAGGTAGGGTGCTTGCCATGCATATAATGACCCAGGTTTGACCCCCTGCATTACATTATGGTCCCCAAGCTCCACCTGAAGTGATCCCTAAGCACAGTCAGGTGTGACCCAAACTAGTATTTTTTAATTCAACCTCCTTAGTAATCAGAATAAGAAGCTAAAAGTCACAATAAGACACATTTAACACTTACCTGAATGAAAAGTTTTTAAAGCATAGCGATATAAAATATTCAACAGAATATAAACAAAAAGGCAAAATTTAGTAACAGATGTTGATAAACTGCTAAAGATTATATAAGACTGAAGACAAAAAGGAAATAAATGTTAAGAAGGAAACTATTAACACAAAATTAAAATTAATGGTCACTCTGAAGGAAAGAAAATAGAACAAAATAGGGAAGGAGTACATAAAGGCTTAGAAGGTATTTATATGAAATGGGTCACACATACATACATACATACATACATATATAACATGTATGTAAGTCTACAATTATTAGCCTCCAAATTATACACATAAGTGAGTCATTATAAAAATACATTTTATATAATTTAAAAACTGCTTAACCTCAAAGAAAATGGAAAAATCGCGATAGCACAGCGGTAGGGTGTTTGCCTTGCACGCAGCCAACATGGCCGACCCGAGTTCGATTCCTCCGCCCCTCTCGGAGAGCCTGGCAAGCTACCAAGAGTATCTCGCCCGCACGGCAGAGCCTGGCAAGCCACCCATGAGGTATTCGATATGCCAAACACAGTAACAACAAAGTCTCCAATGGAGACGTTACTGGGCCCGCTCGAGCAAATCGACGAACAACGGGAGGGCCTTTACCTTTACCTTTAATTAAAAAATTAAAAATATAATATCAAGATATAATTAGAGCTCAAAATTACTGAGCTCACAAAACACTGGTTACCAGGCTAGAGAGACAGTATGGTTGGTAAGGAGATTGCTTTGCACACAACTTAGTTCCATGCTTGTCACCGAATGTGGTCCTGAGCCAGCCAGGAGTAATCCCTGAGCACAAAGCCAGGAATAAATCCTGAGTAGCACCAGCTGTCGCCCCGAAAACCCCGAACAACACAAAATACTAGTAACCATGTACCATAAATGGTTCTAAATGCTTTTCATATACTCTTTGTAATAATTCCACAAGACCAAGCAGTAAGCATTAGTATTGCCTCATCTTCAAATGAGGAAGCCACGTCATTTAAAGCTTAAGTAATTTCCCCAAGGTCAGATAATCAGGAACTCATTCAAGTCATGACAGACTAAGGACAAAGTCTGTATTCTGTTTGCTCATCCAAACTATTAGGATATGCATTTCCTAACAGAGAATAGGATTAAGAAATATGCAGAGCTCAATTTTTAAAAATCTAAACTTTGGAGACATAAAAGACAAGCAAATAAATAATTATGTGTGTGAGCATGTGTGTATACATGTGCGTGTGTGTGTGTGTGTTTGTGCATGTGTGAGTAGCCACATACACATATCATAGAAAGATATCCCTCGATAAGATTTTTGATTTTAATGACTGAGCTCTCCCCAAAACACAACTACCAAAATTACGATAAAATTTTCAGGAAAATAACCACACAAGGGAACACTTCACCAAAACTTAAGTATGATCAAATCATGATATTATTTAAAGGGTAATATCAAAGAGAAAGTCACACAACTAGGTATTAAGTGTATTAAAAAGTGATAAAAGCAATACATAAAAAGAAAACAAACATTCAGCAACAACAACAACAAAAGTTAGATCAACAAGGCAGATAAAGAAGACCCCAAAAACTGAATTAAGTCTGCTGCACAAAAAAAAAAAAAGTTTTATCATTCACTATATCACTGTCATCCCGTTACTCAAGCGCGTTATTACCTCCATTCCTCCCAGCCTGAGATTTTAGCAGCATCTCCTTCCCAACGATTGGAGGCTCATTCAGGGTCAGGGAAATCATTATTGGAAAAAAATCATTATTTACCTAATGGTGCTGAGACTAACAAATCTAAAAAGTAATTACTTAAAATCTTTTCAAACTGGGGCTGGGCTGACAGTACAGTGAATAGGGGATTTGCCTTGCACATAGCCAACCCAAGTTTGATCCCTGGCATCTCATAAGGTTCCAGAGCACCGCCAGGAGTAATTCCTGAGTGCAGAGCCAGGAAAATCCCTTGAGCATCGCCGGGTGTGACCCAAAAAGCTCTGAACACTGCCAGGTGTTATTCTGCCCGAAAAGCAAAATGAAATAATAATGATTTAAAAAATAACATCACAGAAACCAATGTTTTCTGGGTAAATAACTATGAAGCAGTTATAACTATTATTTTTCTGCTATTTTAGCAGTCAGGCCAAGAGTGTTGTTTTAAAGGTCTAATGTTATCATCTGTATTTGTCACTGTATCCACATTAGCAAGCTCTACCTGGACCTTAAGGAATATCTAAGCATAAAAGGCACAACACAAAAATCACATCTTTACACATACATGACCAGTAAAACTGAGTGACAGGGTTTTCTTACCTTGGACCATTGCTGTCTTTTCTTCTAGTTGAACAGTTGCCTTGCTCGGCTTTGGCTCGCTGGTCTGTATTTGGGTTCCTATCCACAACTTCTCCAGCATCAAGTGCTCTGTGGAGTCGGTAGTTAACCATCTTCAGAACAATGAAAACAGCAGCTATCACAGGACAATAAACTGCTACTATAATCATGGAGGAAGGTAGGGCCTTTGGAAAAAAAAAAATAAAAATATGCATTTTTAAATATTTAACTCAGAAAAATCTGCAACTGAAGTAAAAACACGTACATCTCTATGCATAAAGCAGCAATTCTGTTATTAGCAGTAACTCTGAAAAGTTCTGTAAGACTGCACTGCCCAGTACAACTGCCACTAGTTACATGTGGCCACTGAGGATCTGCAGTGTGGCAAGCCTGCACTAAAATGTATACAAAGAATGTATACATTTGATTTTGATGAGTTGGACTTTTAAAAAAATGCTAAAAACTCAATAATTTCTATTGACTACATATTAAATGGGGCTGGAGCGATAGCACAGCGGGTAGGGCGTTTGCCTTGCACGCAGCCAACATGGCCGACCCAAGTTCGATTCTTCCACCCCTCTCGGAGAGCCCGGCAAGCTACCGAGAGTATTCGATATGCCAGACACAGTAACAACAAAGTCTCCAATGGAGACGTTACTGGGCCCGCTCGAGCAAATCGATGATCAATGGGAGGGCCTTTACCTTTACCTTTACATATTAAATATTTATATTACATGGGGTAAAATGCTAATGTTTTATGTTTCTTTCTTGTAGTCTTTGTAATCATACTGGGCTATTCACAAGGATCAGTCCTGGTGGGGCTCGGGGGATTGAACTAGAGTCACCTGCATGGACAGCAAGCACCCTACCTGCTGTACTACGGCTCCAGCTCCCCTATTTTTCTTAGTATAGCGATTAGAAAGTTTTTAATTATATATGTGGCTCACATTTCATTTCCACTGAATAGCAAAGCTAGATAATCCATGCCAGAAGGCTTTTAACACAACTGGAGAGGCAAGGTATCACATTCATTGCATAACAAGGAATGAAGCTGGAGTTATAACCCCACTTTAGGGGCTCTGTAAAATTTCTTGAGATATAAACATTATGTTCCTTAAGATCAGGAGTTAAAATTATCAGAAATATCTTAAAAACTGACAGTAAAACCGAATTAGATAGGAGGAACATCCAATATCTTAACTAGTCTTACTCAAAACTACTTAATCACTTGAAAATTATAATCTGCTAGATTAAAGATTACAGCACAGAATCAAGTAATAAACGGAAGTAAATCCGCAGCATCCTGGTGTGAGGACTGCAGTCTGTGTGTCTTGGAGATTCAGGGGTTTGCATCTGCATCCACGTTCGACAGACCTACAATACCACAACAGTGGACAACCTCCACAGCACAACTGGGTACCTGCAAGTACTTTCAGTAAAGATGTGTGATCCCTGACACACCAAAACCAAAATATAAAGATGCATGAGCACCAGTCAAGAACTGCTTGCAGGGACTGTAGACAGTTCAGCAGGCAGGGAACGTGCTTTGCATGTGCCTGACCCGGGTTCAATCCCCAGCATTCCATATGGCCCCCTTGAGCACCAACAGGAACGATTCATCCCTGACTGCAGAGTCAGGAGTAACACCTGAGAGCCACCTGGTATGGCCCAAAAATTAAAAAGAAAAAGAACTGCTTGCAACTGCCAATAGCATGTAAATGGGCACCCCGAATGCCCATTTACATGCTATTGGCACTACACTACAACAGAATGTCCATGAGCAGTAGAACTAAATGATCACAGCCTGCTGCAAGCACTCATGAAAATACCCTGACCAGAGTGAGTGACCACTTGCAAGTACCACAGTTAAGTGTGTAAATCTCAGTTGTGACAACAGCAACAAACAGAGAATGGAGAGCAAAGCAAACAAAAATCAAAGTCAATCATGAACAGTTAAAAACATCTAAATAAAATCCCTCCACCTGCCATCTTATTGCTAAAATAGTGGCTGAGTTCCAAGAAACACTGAAGTGTTGAAATGTGCATGCCCTATGTATTCCTTAAGTATGGTTTTTGTTTTTTGTTTTTTGGTTGTTTTTTTTTTTTTTTTTTTTTTTTTTCTTTTTGGGTCACACCTGCCAATGCACAGGGGTTATTCCTGGCTCTGCACTCAGGAATTACTCCTGATGGTGCTCAGGGGACCATATGGGATGCTGGGAATCGAACTCAGGTCGGCGGAGTACAAGGCAAACACCCTACCCGTTGTGCTATTGCTCCAACCCCTAGAATATATTTTCTTAAAACACTGAAACTAAAAAATATAGAAACAAAGTCAAGCTGTGACTATTTCAATATTTCATACTGGAAGCCAGTAGCAGATGATTACCATTTGTATTTCTTTTGTTGGTTTGGGGGCCACGCCCAGTGACACCCAGGGCTTACTGCTGGCTCTGCTCTCAGGGATCACTCCTGGGTTCCCAGGACCATATAGGGTGCCTGGGATGAAAACCAGGTTGGCTACGTGCAAGGCAAGTACCCTATTTGCTATACTAACATTCCAGCCCATATTTGTATTTTGTATTTCTTACTCAAATTACAAAAGTTTTGCTTTTTCCTTTTTTATTTTTTAATGAATCACCGTGAGGTACAGTTACAGACTTACAAACTTTTGTGCTTACATTTCAGTCATACAATGATCAAGTATCCATCCCTCCATCAGTGCCCATTCTCCACCACCAATGTTCCCAGTATCCCCACCCCCACACCCACCTCTGCCTCATTCCCTTTTACTCTATCTCTCCTGTTGGGTGTTATGGTTTGCGATACATGTATTAGGTAGCCATCATGTTCATTCTATAGTCTACTTCCAGCACGCATCTCCCATGCAGAGCGAGCACTCCAAGCATCCTTTACTCGGTGGTCCCTTCCATATCCCAACTGCCTTTTTCCCCAGCATGTGAGTCTGGCTTCCAAGCCGTGGGGCAATCTTCCTGGTCCTTATCTCTACTATCCTAGGGTGTTAGTCTCCCATTACTTTATATTCCACAAATGAGTGCAGTCCTTCTATGTCTGCTCCTATCCATTCATCCATTTATTTTATGCTGTGCAATATAAATGCTAAATCCTGTAAGTGGTTACCCTCTAGGTTTCCAGGTGATAAGACAATGGTGCTATAACAGTTTCATTCTCCCCCAATGAAGTAAAAGTACAAAGAAACACAGTGGATGGGTTTGTGACTAAATATGTTCATTTACATTACTTCACAGTATTCCCTGCTGCCCCATACATAGAAGACAGTATTGGTATGGCTCTTTAATTTCCATAAGCACTCTCTGTAGCTGAACTTCAATAATATTACCAAAAAATGTCTATTAAAAGGCATTACTTTACATAGTTTCATGGTTTCCTAAAATTCAACATCAAAAACTAGAAACTAGTCAAGTCACCCATGCTACAGGTTTTTGGATTATACACAAAAAGGTCAAGCCAAGTTGTATTTACTATTGTTTCTATTGCTTTAAAGTAGTTAAATTAGGCCTACCACGGGTATTTTCAGAAAAGCTCAGAATTATACTTAACAACACACAATTTCTGAAGGAAAAAATCCACAAAATTGCTTATTTTTCTGTTAAAATACCATTATTACATCCTATTCACCAATAAAAATCTAAATTTAAAGTTATTTGGATTTTTTTGCAATATTTATATAGTTCAAAAAGTATTAAAATAGTTTGAGTCCCATTCTCATATCTTAAAATAGTTCGAAAACTATGAGTCTTTCCAAAGGAACAAGTTCATCTTTTTTAGCTGTAATGTGTTATTGCAGATTTAATCTTCAAATTACTGTGGATGCAACCAAGCAGATTAACTGGCATTCTGTGATAAACAGGTATAGTCTTTTTGTTTGTGGCACTAGATGGCAGTAGTCAGGGCTAATTCCTGGTTCTATGCTCAGGGATCATTCCTGGTGGGGTTCAGGAAAACTTATGTGGTGCCAGGGATCAAACCCATGCTCGTCATATGCAAGGCAAGTACCCCATACCCAGAACTGTGACTCAGGCCCAGATTTATTCTGAATTTACATAAATGTCTAACTATGTGATTCATACAGAAAGGGCTATTTTATTATATTTATTTATTTATTTATTTTCTGGGATAACAAAAACAGTGGAGAGCAGAAAAGCAAAGTACAGAAAACGGTATGATATTTCCACTGGACAAAGAAGGTCCACAGTAAAGAACTAGAAAGGTCTCATCACTGCCAAGAGTCATTCATCATGGGTTTGCGTCCCATTCTCATATCTTAAACATCAACCTATCTTATAGCTGCAATATATCAAAAAGTTAACACCAAAACAGATGAGCCACATATTTTTCCATCTATTATGTCAAAGGTCACATCTTGATTTTTGAATACTCCTTATTAATAATCAGCTGTCTGTAAGTTCAAGGTTAAATAATAGACACTGCCCACAACTGAAGTCATTGCTGTGAAAAGATGCTTAACACATCACTTAACTATTCATTCCTAATGCAAGATTCCTCTGATACTTGTTCTTCCCTACCACTGCAATTACGTGATAATTTAAGGCACTGTTTACCAAGATTCTGACACCACAGCCATGATGGACATTCAGCAACAAGTGATTTAAGATTTATCATATTTTAATTTCTTAACCTGGCATATTTCAATTTCTTAAAGTGACTTCTGCAAAGAGTTAAGCTTTAAAATTTTTAGAAGAAATATTTTTAAAATCCCTATAATATTTAGGAAGACTCACTTAGCATGATGTCCAAAATACTATAAAAGCACTGATAAACTAAAAAAAAAAAATTTTTTTTTTTTTTTTACATTTTGGGTCACACCCAGCGATGCACAGGAGTTACACCTGGTTCATGCACTCAGGAAATACTCTTGGCGGTGCTCAGGGGACCATATGGGATGCTGGGAATCGAACCTAGGTCGGCTGCGTGCAAGGCAAATGCCCTACCTGCTGTGCTATTGCTCCAACCCAAAAAAATCGTATTTTTTGAGGTATTAAATGAAAATACAAATTAAAGATTTGTGAAACATTAAAGGACAAAAGGAAGATCTTACACAGAAAAATGATCACTATAAACAGTATTTAGGGACCAGAGGTAATACAGGGGGATAATGTATTTCCTTGCATGTGGCCACCCTAGT